GACCGCTTAGGGGTGCAGCTGATATCAATGGGAAACTCTTTGTAATATTTTTCTTATATTTGTTTCATTATAAGGTCAACTTAATTTTATCTTATCCTAGTCAGGTGGTGTTGACATCGCCATGACGACTTGTATCGAGATACGCCGGCCACTGTTACAGGAATCAGCCGATTGCTACTGGCACTTTTTTCCAGGACAAAGACAAAGAAATCCGTATCATGTAAAACTCTCAGCACTGGCTTTCAGTTTGTTGTTGCTATGGCAGCTAGTTGGAGCATTTCTGTACATGGTTCGTGATGTTGCTTGCTTCCGGGACAAATCCACTGCATATCAGTGCAAAACAGATGCGGCTTTCCCTTTTTCAGAGGATGTCACGATGGTGTGGCTGGCTTCGCTATGTATTTTCACCGCTATCTCTATAGCTGCCCTTCAGAATGTTCCGCAGTTCCCCGGTTACAAGGCAATCTTACATCTGCTCAAATACGTTCCTTCATTTTGGACTTTAATAATCCTTTTGACCGTCGCCTTGTTTCGATATATTAAGCTACTAATTTCTATCAATTCTTTGTCATCTTGGGTCGTAATTGTTTGCTTGATGGTAAGTTACATTCTGAGAACTTTGGTCGTGGGATTTTTAAATTACACCAGGTTAAACGCCCTAAAGCAGAAATATCCCATTTACATTTTTGTTATATCTAAACTGACAGTGTTCTTGTTTTTCATTGTTACCTTTATCAATCTCATGGCTACCCTTTTAGCCCTGAGTGTGGAAATCCGCGAGATGCATAAAACAGATCGAGCTAAGAACTCGCTCGATTTGAATTTGGATACCGTAAACGAACTGCTGGAGGTCTTTGGTACAACCACTTTTAGAATTATGTTAATGAAATTCTTTTGGGAAAAGTTTTTCATCGACGACAGGAACATTCTTTGTTTCCATACACCTTTGGAGTGAGAAAGACAGCGAAAATCGAAAGAGTTTCATTCTCGTCCTCAGAGTCACTCGTTTTCGCTTACCCTGATCACATGACCAGCTCACTGAAATGATTGCACTCACTTGGAGCGTAAAAAGTTGTTGCCTCTTCTTTTTATACAATTCCTGCTTCTTGTTGTTATGCCTTCCCTATTATGTAGATCAGTTTTTCAGCGATTCCATATCGTTTGAACTAAATGTTTTAAAACTTTCCTTCTAGTTAAATGTTCTAAATTTGTATAATTTATTACCTTGTTTTAATTGTTAATGTTGGAACAGTGCGACACATGAAAGACACAGTGTGTATTTTGAACCACAAAGCCATAATTTCGTCATACTATACAGCAGAAGCTCTCCACTTCCGGTTTTCTGTGTCATCTACTTCAAGCTTGAGCCTCAGTTTTTCCCGTGAAAAAACAACTCCTAATATTAGGCAGCAACGCTGTCGGCAAGTTTGTAGTTTGGGTAGTTGTCTTGAGATTTCGCGTCCGACAACGCTTCTGTTTAATTTTATTTGAACCTTACTAATCTTAATGAGTTCCTTTGAGACATTCCCAGAACGGATTGAGGTGGCAAGGTTGTAAAAAAAGCTTATAGAACAGTCAAAAGTCGCGTCCGTTTACCCGACAGGGTGACTTAACCAGGTTGTGTAGGATCTTTATACATCGGGTAAATGCCTTTATTTTGAGCTTAAATGAACTCTTTTGACGGATTTTCTAAGATTTCTGGTGTTGTGAAAGTCTGCTACAACTACCAATGATTGCTAAGTTTAATTTCAATACTTCGTTGCAGAGAACTGCCGTTCCGCGTTAGTTTTAAACTTACCTTAAAATGCTGAGGAATTGACAAAAATATCTTAGAAAAGTAACAGTATTTACGTAAAAAAAATAAAATAAAATAATAAAAACCAGGACTCAATAAAGGATGTAGAAGCAGCCATTCAGTCAAATCTAACTTTCCTCAAGGCAATTATGAGAAGTTAGGTATGTCAGCTGTGCTACAACAAAAAAGGGAATTTATCACTCCAAGGTAGATGATGTTAAATCTTGTCTCAATTGACTTTAATTCAGAGGTTGAGACCACCCTAATGTACATTTGAATGCAGCTCTTGACTGCTGTGCCATGACTTTCCATTATGATCAGAATATTATTTTGAGTTAGATGAAGAACTCAATGCTGAATGCAAAGAAAAATTTCAGCATAAGTATTTTAGTTTCCTTTTGCTCAATAGGTGAGGTAGTGGTGTCAGATATGTTTAGTCACTATCTCGCTGTTTTGAAAAGTAAGGACTTAACTTAACTCAAAGCTGTAAGAGGACTTTCCTCATTCGTCAAGTATAACTCAACTTCAAGTGCCATAATACATGTAATAATAATGTAACTTAAGAGACGGCATGAGTAAATCTTATTCTTGGTGAACTTCAAACCTTAGTTTGAGTCACTTCCTGGGAATCAATTATCAACTGATTGAGTAAATCAAATATGTGAACTCAAACTAAAGGGAAACTAGCATTAGAATCAAATAAAATTTTTAACTTTGTATATAACCTAGTCCTAGAAAGATTAACCAAAAACATGTACCATTATAAAAATTTAAAAATGGGTTCCATTTTTCCGTTTTCGCATTGAGTGGGATAAAAATGGGGGTTCTGGCGCATTTTAATATCCACCTTGATTTTTAAGACAACTCATGAATTTAACCTTGAAATCAACCTTGATTTCAAAAAACAGGTCTTGCACATTTTGGAGACAACTTTGATTTCAAGGACAACTTAAATTATTCACTTGTGAATAATCTTCACACCCTCTTCAGAATGTCTCACTCGTGAGTTCTGAAGAGGATGTGAATAATATCAACTTGAACGATCCTCTTGTCACGCCATCAGGGTGTTAATTGTTCGTGTGAAGATTTTCAAATATTAATGTTGTATCTTCTCGCAAAGAAGTCGTGGCGTGCTTTCATTTTTTCTTCTGTCAAAATTGTGTCTTTGTAAATGAGAAGTTATCTCATAAATAGGTCAAGAAGACTCCATGATCTTTCAGAATCTTATGATTCAATGGAATCCTACATTTGTTCTGACAGACATCAATAAGCTTATTCTCTTTTACAACTCCTGATTTCTTCATATCTTCCGCATAGCATCTGATCTTCGAAAGATCATCAGAATGAATACCTTCTCTGAACATGCTCGTCCTCTCATTCTCAGTCAAGAAGAGGTCCTCACAGAGCTTGATTAGATCATAACCATCAGTGTCTTGCGCGATTTCTCCTGCGAATTTCACAGTCAACCTGTCAACAAGAGCTCTTGCGACATTGTTCACGGTAGACATTGTTTGCGTGACCACTAACTGCCGAGTCAAAGATGAGTGATAGAGATCCTGACACAAGGACAACTCCTTCACTAAGAATTTAGTTAGAATTTACTTTTTTGAATGAGTGCGTGACTCTATATCGGCAGAGAGCGAGACCGCGTGAGAACTCGCAGGAATGGAGGTGCTTCGTGACAAAAGTCACGCACTTCCGGTTTTCAGCTTGCACAGAGTTATGGACTAGGGGACTCCCCCTTTCGTTTTTACAACGCGCAATTAAGATTCTTCGTTCTATAACGAAGCTGTCGACTCTCTCTTGGTACTTCCTCAGTCTTAGTGACTTTTTTTAAAACACTTCCATGATGGATTGAGGAAGCAAGGTCGTAAAGCAGTCAAACGTGCCTTCCATTTCCTCGACAGAGGTAAGAACGCATGGTTCTATCAGATTTTTGAATGTAAGGTAAATACTGTTATTTCGAATTTCTCAGTCAACAGTTTCACCCTCAAATGCTCTTAATCTGTCCTAATTTTCTCTGATCTCCGGCAGTGAAAGACGTTCGTGCGGTTAACTAACGAGGATTGCTAACTTTTACTTGATTCTGGGGTGTATTAATTGTATTACCGCTTCGTGTTATTTAAGAGCTAATTAAGCTGAGCTTGTTTGAACAAGTTACAGCTGTCGAATTCACAAAAATTCGCAGGCGATACCCGGCATTTACCTTGGATAAAATAAGTAATTCGGGAGAATTAAAAGGAATATTAAAGTCATGGATTTGATTTTGTGCAGGCGCTGATGATCGGAACACTTTCAGTTTCATCTGCGTGTCTTGCACACAATCATGATCGTGTTTTGCACTAGCTCTAGTGTCAGGCTAACATAAGTATTAATTTAATGTGCTCCCCTATTTACGATGCATTTGATCAAAAACCTATAAACATTTCCAGCTTATTTCACGTGTTTATGTTTATTATTTCATACAGTTTAAAAGTAATTTTTTTCCTTTTTTGATAGACTGCTTAGATTCTCCCTTTTAACTGTACTGCTATACTGATTTCCATGTCAAATTTCGAGAAACGATGACTTTTCTTCAAATGTCACCTAGTCATTTATTGGAAGTGTCCTTTCAACTAACTGCCTTTGATTTTTAGGATTCCAAGTCATCAACTGATAATGATAGATTGGTATCTGAGTAAAGTTTACCTTTAAATGGGTAGCAGAAATTAGCCAGGTAAGCCTGATGAAATGCCAGGGGGAAAGGGGATGGACTAGCATCCCATCCAAGGGATGTAGTTACTCCCACTCACTTCGTGTGAGGAAACCAGTATTATAAGCTCAGGGCCTAGATGGTGACTGCTCAAATACAGACTTTACCCGACTACCTCAGCCTCTTAAATAATTTGAATTGCTGTTGCAACAAATTATATGAACTTGCAACACTTTCCCAATTTATTTCAGTCAATTGAAAATGTATTTTATAAATATTGAATCATATTTTAGTACATATCTTTGTTCTTTTGCTGCTTTTATAGTATGACATTAATTGCTTGTGATTTTGTGTCTATGTATCCCTCCCATTCTCAGAAGGGAAAAAATATTTATTTTACAACTGGGTAATATGTTGAGCTGATGTTTATTACCATTTACAACCAACTTTCTTTCAGCCCAGGATAACTTAAGCAGCACCTTTGTAAGAAGCATCAGTCTTCTTACAGTTGCTATGGCTACAGAAAGAAGTCCAATTAAAGTTCCATGTGAAAATGAAGACTTACCTGAAAAAGAAAATGCACCAGATTTTGATGAGGACACTTTGCGAGGTGAGTTGTGTTGAGCTTCAGCTTCAGTTATTGTTAGAACTTCTTCTATTCCACCATTTTCAAGAATGTATGCAGATGTGGAGAAGGATATAATTATACACTGTATTAATACTTTAAAAGATATTTGGACAGTTATGACTCTCTTCTATGATTATAATATGCTGTTCATTTAAAGGATCTATGACACAGAAACCTTTGTTATTTTCTTTTCTAAAAGTTCAAAGCAAGTACACTGTACACAAAGTTATAATAAGTAAATACTTTATTTGATCATGGTACAACATCCATTTTGTAAGTCTGCATTATAGTTACCATCATCATCATCATCATCATCATCATCTTCCCATTATAATTCAACAATCAATTGAAAACTTCAACCTCCCCCCCCTTCCTTTTCACCTGGGCAACCCACAAGCATTAGCATTTGATCATCCAAGCCAAACAAGGGGGGGGGGGGGAATTGAACCTTGCCTCACTACATTGGGAAATTTGAATCAGAAGTGTCAAGACTTTATAATAGAATACAAGTGTTATATCGATCTCTAACTGTCGAGGTGTTTAAGGTAAAAAATGCACTTTTACTAGCAAATGGCTGAGAAGGTAAAAAGTCTACAAGGTTTAGGTTTTATGCTTAATCATCATCATCATCATCATCATCACCATTGTTACCCACATTATAAGCATTATCATAACTATCATCTTTTTTATCATTTTTCTTATCATTTAGGCAATAACATACTGTTTGTCTATATTGTAATATTGCTTCTGGTTGTTTAATGCTTGCAACATTTGGATCTTATTGACTCATTAACCATCTAAATGTATTGAAAGCAGAAGACTCTTCTACACCTATAATTATGCCAACTCTTCCTGATTATCTGGGAGTCTCACAGTCACTGAAGCAGACTCTGAGGGTCTCCCACATGGGTCATCAAACTTTCAAGATAAAAGAGGATTTGGTTCAGCTCCACACAGAAACATCACATTCGAACTCCAGATTTCCCACATCTAATGTTATCTGCCCTTTTATTAATATTAGGGTTCTTATCTTAATTTTCTTGACTGCACTTAGACTGTTTCAAAGTAGGGATTACACTTTCTTCTAAACAACAACCACAACAGTAACTGAGTCTGATTGGTTGAGTTTTCAACCAAAAAATCTCTCATGAATTTACTGAGAGGGGTCTTTCCTGTGAAGGGGGAGAGGGAGGGGGGACTGCACACATTATCTAAGCTTTACAGGGGATAGGTTACGTCAGGCAGATGCAAAAGTGGCATCTGGCGCTAAAGGAAAAATCTGCAGATTTTGAATCTCCAGATCTTGGCAGTTCTGCCTATATTCACTAATAATTATTAACTACAACCACAGACGTTTTTAAATTTTTTCTTTGCAGCCACAGCTGATGTTTATAGGAATAAAGGAAATGAGGCCTTCAAGAAAGGAGATTTCATCAATGCTATTCATTTTTACACCAAAGGAATTAAAATGAACTGCAATGACAAAGAACTAAAGGCCAAACTGTACAACAACAGAGCTATTTCACATTTTAAACTTGGTAAGATGATGAGAGCTTTAATATGCATTTTTTTCCCTTTTGAAGCTATTGGTCTGTTAATAGTAGTTTTCTGAAAAAGGTGATAATTTTGAATGTAGGCCTTGTCTTGGCCTCTTAAACATACAAAGAAGTAACCTCTTACCCCAGATATCAGTGAGCATCACAAGTTTTCCCTAAAATTGTTGTAATGGTGGTTGGTTAAAATGCTACTTGTATGGCTGATCAGAGATATTTATTTCAATAACAGGAAATCGCCAGTATATTCACTACGGAATGCAGAAGCAGCCATTGAGTTAACTCCAACTTTCCTTGAGGCAATAATATGAGAGGTTAGATATGATAGCTGTGCTATAATAATAATAATAATAATAATAATAATAATAATAATAATAATAATAATAATAATAATTTCAGTTCTAATAGACTCCTTCTTTTGCTCTTACAAAGCGCTAAAACACTTGAAACATCAGCTTTAGAAATTCTTTACAGTGGCCAATTTACGTTATCAACTCAGTTAATGAAACCAGATAATCTCTTTCTAACAGTCTCTGCTTTTTTTCTGATTGCATTTTTTAATGTCAATGGCTTTAGTTCTATGAACTCAAACTAAGTGCAGTTTATTAAATCCACTTGGTTTTAATTTTACAAGAATATACAAAATCAATCAGTATCATATTTTTCAGTTATAAAATAAACTATTTGTTTTTTATACTCACAGGATGAATGGTTTGGCAAGCTTGAAAACAGCTTTCAGGGTGAATCTGGCCTTTAAAATGATGCAAAAGTTCAATCCTTCAAAGAACCTGCAGAAAAAAAGCAATGAATGAGACATTACAGTTTAATTTATATCATTTATTTACTAAAATCTGTCAGATAAAACCATATTCTGTACTCTACCAGCAAAATAATTGTAATACATCCACTGATATAAAAAGTTATCAGCATCATAAGGTGCATTTTACCAGTACCAGTATAATTCACCAAATTTATCATCTGACTTCTGACTTTGTTGATTTGGTTGCTAATATTTGAAGTAGGTATATGTTTCCATCAGTACAAACTTCTCTTACCTATTTTTTAATAGTTTGTAAAATTTCTTTGCCAATTGAATCAAACAAAGGTTTGCATCATCATCCTCTCCATGGATAACAACTGTGAATTTGTCAGTGACAAGAGTTTTCTTGATGTACTCTTCTACATTCTGAATTCAGAGATCAAACAAAGATGATTAACCCACATTATAGTTATAATGAATAAAGCTTTGCACCATCTTCCTTTACATGAATAACAACTGTGAAGTTGTCTGTGACAAGATTTTCTTGACGTACTGAGTACATCAGGAAAAATCTTGTCACTGACTTCTACATTTCTGAATTCAGAGATCAAACAAAGATGATTAACCCACATGTAGTTAATGATTGGTAATACAAGATGTAAAATCTTGGATTACAGGAAACAAAAAATTTACCTTAATTTCAATGCATTTTGCACAAAAGGGAATAACTGAATTGTATATAACCATCATGTGAGTATCTACACTGCACTTTCAACTGGATCCCAAATATCCTGAGCAGAGCGTGCATCTAATTACCACCTTAGAAAGTTTTCTTTTGGATAACATAGTCATTAACATAGTTTAGTCATTAACATAGAATTAAAGAAATACTCTCACTTGGGAGCAGAGATTGTCAGTAAGCATCTTTGATTTTGACCTTCGGAACAGTTTTGATACCAAAGGTACCTTCCCACCGTTCAAAAGGAAAACATCATTGCCTGATTCATCACAGTGATCTGAATAAAGAAATATTGAAAACTCCTTTCAGAAAAGATTATCATACCACTTTTAAGACTTATTTTCTTAAACTACATGAACCAAACACTCAAGCCCTTGGGATTTCAATCACTCACCACTTTTTGTGAAGAAAGAGCTGACATCATATTCATCACAAGTAAGATGAGATTGCTCCAAAGCAATGCAATGTACTTCAACCTGTGAGTCTGCATGGTTTGAAAAATTTTGGTTAAATAGTGACATTTCCTTTTAATTCAATTGTAGTTAATTCATCAGAGGAAATCCTTAAATTAATTATACATTAATTATCTCAACCCAGACAATCACACAACTTTTCACACACCTTGCAGTTGAAATCTCATGCAATACAAAATGGTTAACATAAAAAAAACCTTTCACCTTTAGGTATTTTATCTATCATTCATAGGAAAATACTCATCAGATACAAGAGCTTACTGTCAGTAAAACCCTGAGCATGATAGAATGTTATTGCGGCCTTAAATTTTTCACCACAAAGATAGTTACATTACAATTTACCTTTCTCAATGTCCTCTGTTGTTGGCCTAACCGCTGAAGACTTTCGTGGCCATTTGAACCATCAGGATTTCTAATCAAGAATAAAATCATTCAATCATTAATCAATGATCAGCCCATGTTGATTGAACTTCTTAACCACTGTCTTGATTTTTAAACAGGTTAACTGTCTACATTACTTATTCTATAGTAAACATTTTCCTTCTCATAAGCCTAGGATGACTGTTAATGAGCCCACTGATAATTTAGGTTATCCCAAGGAAAATCAACAGCCACCACTTGCCAAAGGACACTCCTACATCATCATTTGGCAAATGAAGGTAAAAATAAAATCAATAAATTTTAATGAATGAATATACAAAATTAAATAAATCAAAGGTTCTTTTATACCAAATGCAAGTTGAACTTTCTACTTCCAATCTTCTTTCCACTGGGCTCAGGTGATGATGGGGACTGGGGAGGTTGATCAACAGGGGGGTCAGAGCTTTCCTGAACAAGCACTATATGAAGAGGTCAAATGGTTGACAATTTGAATGTTTATTTTTATGTTTATTAGATATGTAAACATTCACAGAAAATTCATTGATTATTCCCCATGATAAAACATCAACTATATTTCACTCATGGCGAGGTTTATACTGAGTCTACAAATGCATAATAATTGCAAATGACTCTTTCTTCAGCTTAACCCTATTTAACATGTTCCTTCTTCCTGTAATATTCACACATCATCTGGCAAACAGGTAGTGAGAATTCTCAAACTTATCTGGTAGAACTTTTTACCTTGATCTAATCAAATACTCATAACTAATTTACAAGGAAATGTGTAGCAGCTAATGGGGAGAATTAACATTCAGATATTTAAGTTAAAGAGTTAAAACACTGGCAAATTTTACAAAAGTTAACTATCCTAAGTAATAACAGATTGAGAGAATATTCCAACTGGAATATACAAAAGGCTAACCGCAGCCCTTGGCTGAACTACTTGCAATAGAACATACTCATTAAACAGCAGTAATTACCTTCTTGACTGGGGACATCAATTGCTGGGGAGGCCTTGTATTTCTGAGCTGGAATTGGAGTCCCTCCTCCAGGCTCAAAGACTGCATTAAGACAAAAAGCTAACTATCCTAAGTAAGAACAGATTGGGATAATAGTCCATTGAGGATACAAAAGGCTAATGGAAACCATGGCTGAACTTATTACAATAGAGCATACTCATGAAACAGCAGTGATTACCTTCTTGACTGGGGACATGGACTGGAGTTCCTCCCTCAGGCTCACAGACTGCAGTAAGACTCTAACTTGGTGTCACTTCACTATAGGATGATGTCAAGATTCCAAACACATTTAAAGATGATGCACTTCTATTACCAAAATCTCTCTCTGACTGTTTACCCTGCTTGCTACCCTTACAACAACGTCCCGCAGGCTTGATGTGGCTGCTTCTATTATGCTTCCAATGTAAAGGTCAAGCTGCTGTTCACTGATTTTTATTGACTCTCTAGAACTGGGAGTAGCATTCTGAAAGTAATACATTGTTATAATTATTTCTTAGCAGAAAAACTGTGAAAGAGAAAAGTATAAATAAACTTCCCATTTGCTGTTATAATATTACTGACAATGATTAATTTAAAAAGGTATTTAAAAGTTATGATTGATTCTTTTGATACAAATTGTTCCTGAAGCACAGCATGCACTACACTTATTTGAAACCCCATTTGAAGCCAGCCAGTGTAGACATAATTCTATATTTAAACTCAAGAACCGGGTACTTAATAGGCTCCTAGCTTTAAGGCAGCTAATGCATCAAGTTTAAAATGAAAAAAGTTACATGTTTTTTACGTATTTAAAAGGAGAAAAGACACTTTAGAAAAGTAAAGTAGAAACTATTACCCTGGTCTTGATTCCTTTAGAGGTTCAAGTAGTTCATGTATGATATTCACACTAAATCTTAATTCTTTAGAGTTCTGTCACAATATACAGACTGGTAAACCAAAAGCTGGTAAATCCTTATAGGTTCATGCATAGTGGACTCAAAGAGATTTGATAAACAGGGTTTGAAAATAAGGAGAATCTAGTGCACTTTAGACAAGGTTAGTTAGTTTCCAATTGGGAAATGTTGAAAATAAGCTAAAAAGTGCGCCATTGCAATGTGTAAAATAATCCAACTGCGCTCTTTCTTAAAAAAGGTAGATTATTGCATTTCTATGACAATGAGACCCTCACCATATAAATTGAGTGTCCAGCAATTCGACAAAGAAACGGCCGCCATACTAAAGTGAACGTTTGAAGAAAATGAACGAGCAGCTGAAGATTTCTTTCCTCTCTATCGATCACTTAGAGTTCTCCTTCACGTTTTTGGACAGAGATACTCTGTCCAATACTCTCTAATACTCTCCTTTCATAACGTCTGCCAGACGATCGATTGGGATCGTTAGAGAAGTTCGCCATGTTTTAGCCTTAAATTTACTCCCTGCCCCTCCCCTGTAAAGACAGTGTTTTGACTCGTAACCAGGGTCCACGCCGTGCCCTGACACTTTTCTTGGGAAGATTCCTTTTAAGTCAAGAGTGGCGATCATCCCCAAAAATTGAAAAAGTTATTTCGAACAAAAAGAATAACGAATGAGATTAGCAATTCAGTATAAACGGAACCTCGCTAGTAAATAAGTCTCCAGCCTGTAAGCGCGCGCAAAAATACCGCACTATAGCACAAAAACCTTCTTGTTTAGATATTCCATCTTGCAATGTTTTCCATGGTGCTATGTTGTCTTGAAAATATTTCGTTTTGTGCCTATCCCTTGTCCACACCTACCTAGTATCCTTTCCACCTGCTACAGTCTGAGATTCTTGATAACTTTGCTCCTGAATGAAGCGCGCGCATTTTATTCTCATTTCACGCGTGAAAAGATCCACTTGCCCCGACAAAATCTTTCCGAATTCTCATTGTTCTTCATTCTGCGCATCTTGATTTGGCAGACTTTTATGTTTATTAGTTAGCGGTAGCTGTCAATAATTAAGAATAGGATTTCCTTGCGCTTGCTTTGGTACCCGCCCTTTGGAGTTTTTTTGGTTCCCAGCTCCGTTTTTTTTTCCATGCTCCGCGTTCATTTCAGTGTTACTTTTCACTTGAGTTTTGGGGATATGAGTCCAATCAAAAAAACAGTAGTGAAAACACTTGCGTGATGCATAGAATTTGTTCAAGGAGAAGCTAAGTGATCGCAAAAGTAACATTACAAACACCGCGCAAAATGTTGATTTTATCTATTATATATTATTATATATTATTTCCGCTTTAATATTACTTTTAGCTAACCCTTTCCCATTATTCAGTTATTTATTTTTGGCATCAAATTTCCTTGCGTTTACATCTGGTCCTTCATTCCCTACGCTTAGTCTCTTGGCTTCCTCTTCCAACACATATGAATTCTCCTTTTTCTTCTAATATAAAGACAACTCAACTTTATGTATGCAGGAGCCCAAAGGCCTGGCACACGACAAATTCCGAATGTGTCCGACGAAATATAGCTAGGAGCTTATTTCAACCACCCTAAGTACAAAAAAATTAACAACGAATAGTACTCACGTTTACAGGGCTCATCTCTTTGATTGCTTCCATCACTTTCTTCAATTTTCCTCCGAATGACTTATGAAGCGCCTAACTCCAACCAACGGAAAGTTATAATGACGGGTTGTAATTTTCGCGCGTCGTGATTACGTAACAGACGAGATAATAAACCAATCAACAGATTAGCAAGTATACGTAACTTTTACCTCGTTTTCAGGCGCCTTTGCTCTGGTTCAGGAAAGGGCGGGAAACTGCCCGAGTGCGCAAACTGCTGGGGAGGAGGTTATTGACAGATTTTAATAAATGTTCGCCCATTGACTACCTCAAAGCGATTGCAAAAGCAACAGACAAGTCCAAGAAACGAGACTGAGAAAGATCGGGAGCTTATCAGGAAAAACAAAGGGGTGCGTCGTTCCGCAGGTAAACCAGTATAGGGCTGCCGGTTTCTTTGGCCACCACGATGCGCTGACCACTGACCGCGAGAATTTAACACAGACTTCTCGCAAATAAAGGGTTCTGGATAGAAGAGTGAGAAAGATCGGGAGCTTTCCAGGAAATAATGAAAAGAGCGCGTCCTCCCGCAAGAAAACCAAGTCTGCAAGCAAGCTGTTTTGTCGTTGATGCTTAGTTTGCTTGCGAACATATGAAAATGAGAGAAACATATGAGTGCTAAGTTCTACTTCGTACGTAGCATGAAACCACTTGGCTATAAATTAACAAACATTCCTCGCCAAAAGTAAGCTTCGCTCATCGACCTGTAAATGATACAAAAGAGATGATATTAAACCTTTGACCACAAGCAGTGACCACTAAGTAATTTTGGCCACAAGTTCATTACACAGTTTGACGGAGAGGCAATGAAAAGACAAAAAGTGACTAAACTGGATTGAAACTTTGATATCACAGCAAATTGTCTATATCAAAAAGCATGTTCTGTATGCTCTTTTTCTGTTACATGCCTAACAACTCACATCCTATCACGTACCATTAAAACAGCGTCCGAAGTCCGTTAGAACATACCCAGTCGTTGCACTACATGAACATTAGTCAATTTTTTACGTGCTTGAATTGTATTCCACCAACCAAATTCGCATCTACGCGCGCCCGGGTATTATTCACTATTCATGACTCATTTCCTCGGGAAAGTTCACAATGTATCATCAACTTTTGGTTTTCCTGAGAATGTCACGCAATGGTAAAAACATCAGTATGGTCGTAAAACAAAAAGTGAGTCATTTGGATCCTGTCGCAGTCGAGTAAACATCTTTGGTGGCAGCGAGAAATTTTTAACGCTTGCCATCCCCAGCTCGAAGCGTTGCTTCTAAGTTATCACGAGCTAAATTTCAGAGGAGTAAAATCAAAATATTCCTACGTCGTGAGATCACTAGGAAAAGAGTACCCTCTCGACACCGTTCGTGTTATAAGTCACCTTCTGAAGAAGTCATCAAAATATCTTCGGTCTTGCAAAATTTTACAAATTTAACAGGTTCTTAAGGACGAATTCAACGCTGCATCGCTGACGAAACGTCGTTTTAAGGTAAGCTCTGAAATAATTAATTAGACCAAGTGGATTTTTGTCTCACCCACTCGCAGTGTTCCATCAGTAACATTGCCAGTTTGTATTAACAAAAAAAAACTTTTTACATTGTAAAATAAAGACAATCCGGTATGAGGCGTGGGGTCCTGGTTTCATATAGGTCTTTCAGCAAAGTGAGCCGGCAACAACACACTAGACCATATGATCGCAGACAAGAGCAAGTTATGAAAATGTTATCGATCTAAAGTGCTGTGTCCCTGCTTACTCTATTTCTTAGAAGAATATTTAGTGAGAACCGAGAAAACTGAGTGTTACGAGATAATCTGAAGCCTTTTTCCTTTTTATTTTGATTATAAACTACCGTCTACGTGTTACATCCTGTTCTCATTAAAGAAATTGAAAGAGGGAGCAGTTGTCATAAACACATGTTTCGAGGGGAAGATGTAAAACGCTCCTTGCTTATTAAATGATACAAAACTTGACAGGTATTTTCAGTCAGAGAAAAATTTAAGGCAACAAATCAAAATACGAATTCTTTGACACATTATTTGACTTCTTCTGAAAAAATGTAGGTTATATTAAGAACATAGCGTAGCTGAATATTTATCAGCACACCTTTGGAAAATGAAAATAAGCTGAAATCTAGCTCGCACATACATTCTGGAACAAATGATCGTCTTCTTTGCTCTTTTTTTTTTGTCCTACATAAATTAACAAGCAAACCCCTGCTCCTCGTTCTTTTTCGTCATAACTCGAGTCGAAAATCTTACGAAAATTTGAAATGGGTTTGCCTAATTGCGTTTGTTTGTTCCACATAAAATCATGAGTGCACCACGTGCTACCTGTTCGAGTTTTTCATTGAAAGCATTTTGGATGGCGAATATTTATCTATTAGTTTAGTTTGAAATGACAAAAGGATATAGCCTAATATGAAAGAAAGAAAACATTACAATTAATCCAAGTCATTTCGTTAGTGCCATACCTCCTGACTGTGGTGTACTCAAAGTTCTACGGAGCATGCCCGAAGGTGTTAGGTTGCAAAAACAACATGGCGCGATCGGTAAGATGTAAAGATCTTGTAGATTATAATGCACTAAATAATCTTTCCTCAGCGAATTTTGAAACAGCTTCTAAAGGCAAAATAAAATATAAACCCGGGGTAAAATTGTATCAAGTGGAAAGAATTGCCAGCAAGCGGAAATCGTCGGACAAAGTTTCGCATATTATCATGATAATTGTGCAGAGTTGAAAACAGTGGACTGCTGATTTTATGACCAGCGTATTTGCGTGTGGACTATAATTAATCAGATTTAAATTACACACCGTAATATGCGTGGCTAAATTTCCAAAGTAGCTACCAAAACAATGAAAAAAAGAGTGCCGATACGGCGAGCGTTTTCTACATTTTTCGCCTTGTTGTGAGACATCCTTGGTGAAAATCTTTGAAGGATCTTTAACGATCCTACAAGATCTTTATCAGAACCTTTGAAGATCTTCAAAGCTCTTGTTCAGATCTTCAAGGATCTTTCATTTTCTTGCCAAGATCTTCAAGGATGTTTCGTTTTCTTGCTAGGATCTTCAAGGATCTTCAATGTTCTTGTCAAGATCTTCAAGGACCTTTCATTTTCTTGCCAAGATCTTCAAGGATCTTTAATTTTCCTGTCAAGATCCTTGAAGATCTTGTCCGGATCTCCAAAGATTTTGACAAGAACTTTAAAGATCCTTTAAAGATATTTGAAAACTCTTTGAGGATCTTCCAAATTCTTGTTAAGATCTTTGAGGATCTCTCATTTTCTTGCCAGGATCTTTAAGGATCTTTTACTTTCCTCTCAAGATCGTTCAGGATCTTGGCAGGAAAATTTTGAAGATCCGTAAAGATCTTGGCAAGAAAATTAAACATCTTGGAAAATAAAAAAAATAAAGAAAATAAAAGACCCCTGAAGATCTTGGCAAGAAAATCAAAGATCTTTGAAGATCTTGGCAAGAAAAAGAAAGATCCTTGAAGATTTGAACATTTATTTTTTATCCCATACATTTCTTTATAATTGTTTCTTGGCCAAGGCGTGGAGAGGTCAAGTATCATCGATACCTCGGATTTCTGGTAATGGAAGACTACCTTGTCGTCTCAAATAGAGTTAATTAATACTTAGAAACGAAATTACCATCAGAAAAGCAAGTACAAGGAGGCAGTTGGGAGGGGGATTTTTGGGATATGTATATTTCTTTTTCTTTTGCTTCCATGACCTAGTCTACTGATTACAAATTTTATTTCGCCAATTAAATTCCATTTTGCCAAATGAGACTTCGCTCCATCACGTGTCGTTTCCTTGTAAACAACTTGCATTTAGTCACGTATTCTGGCCGCAGTATCCAAACCCACTGGAAAAAATTCACACTAAATGCTACTGATAGTGAACTTTTAACGCAATTCTCCTGCGTTCTGACTTTTTCTACAAATAAACTCGGCTTTTAACTGCCTTGGACTTAATCCAATCATGTGTTTATTCCTTGTAAACAACCTGCATTTTATAAGGTATTTCACACACAGTGGGCAAAGGCCAGATAGCAACAACTAATCAAGGAGCCCCCTCTCAAATATTATCATTTTCTCTTGTGAAATGTATCTTCATTTGGTCGAGATCGCAGTATAATTATCTTTGGTTAGAGTCTATTGGAGATGCAACAGAGTTTCAGTTTGCTTTTCGTAGTAAGATTACATGGAATTGTATTTTTCAGGCATCTAACTGTAGACGAATAATTTTAATTTTCTCTCTGTTGGAGGAACAGCAGTAAGCGTGGTCTCTTTCGCAACTATTATTTGGTCTCATCACGCTACGCGCTCTCTCTCCGTCGGGGAATAGATGGCGTTGTGTGACGAGACCAAACAACTGCTGCGAAGGAGAAAACAGTAAGCGTGGCACCAATCCATTTTATTTTTGCTTAGAAGTATTTAGACAGTAGAGAAAATAGACCACAAGATACCTGTGTGAGTTCAGCCAAATTGTCTTTTTTCTCTCTCTCTTAAGGTGAAGTAATGCAATATTTTCGATCTTTTATAAAGTTATGCTCTTTTTCTGTTACGAAAATGAAAACATTAGGTACACAAAGTGTCCCATCTCATCCCACCCGGTCAAAAAAAATAACTCTTGCATGCTACGCATGCCTATGTTTTTACTTGGAAGCCAGAAAATTCACAATACACCAGATTAGTGTAAGTGACATTAGTGCATTACCATTACCTTGCTTTCTTGAGCTGTACTGGGAAATATTGGCACTATGACATTTCTATACTGCCGTAACCTTGAGCCAATATTCCCTGGTAAAGACTCGAGCTCCAATGGTTAGTAAGAAGTTCGTATATACACTGGATATGCATCTCAGGCTATTTTGAATTCCAGAACAATTGATTTCCTTGTTACTCTACATTTCTTGAAATTTTTTGTAGGTGAAGACAGCCAGCAAGGATTTTATGATATTTGAAAAACAACCAGTCTAGATTATCAGGATAATGAAAGTTAGCATCAAAGACAAATCATTTCTGTGCACAAAACAATGTAAACATGAAATAATTGCAAAAACAATTAGTTTAATATACATATACTGGTAAACCACAAACATCAGCACCTGTACCAAATTGAAATCAATATCAACATACATCAGCATGTACTAGTGTATATATTTCATTGTTTTTCCTGTCTAACTAACAGCCAGCTGCACAAATATGGATGTCGGTTCAACTGGAGGAAATTGAATAAAAAACTTACATATTTTGTAAGTTTTGATCAGTAATCCCTATTTAAAAATCAGATAAGAGAATTTACTTTGGTTTTGTATAAGTTGTTTCTTATGAGATAGGACTCAGCATAAACTCTCTCCTCTTGTGGAGACATGGTGGCCTTATGATTAGTGAGGTGGAGTCAGGGTCAAGAGATCTGCATTTGTAACCTGGCCAGGTCATGTGTTTTGTTTTTGTGCAAAATAATTTACTCTCGCAGTACCCCTCTCCACCCAGGAGTATAAATGGGTACCAGAAATTACTCAGGGGAGCCTGATGAAATGGCAGGAGGAAAGGGGGGGGGGTTACCATGGGGCGGACTGTCATCATGTCTAGGGAGGAGTAATAATACCTAGTCGCTTCATGTGAGGAATCCAGGATTATAAGCTAAGGGCCTGAATAGGCCACTCTTAAATACAGACTTTACCTTACTACCTACTACAGCCTCTGATTTAAGTAACTTCTATTGCTGCTTTTACAAATTATATGAACTTCCAACATACACATGATGATTTTTGCCCAATTTATCTCAGTCAATTAGGACTGTCTTGTAAATCTTGAAATTTTAAAAAATCCAGACAGAGGCGGAGTTTCAAAAAAAGTTTCAAAAATCCAGACAGAGGCAGAGTTTTCTATATTATAGTAGGCTTCCTGCCATCTGACGAGACGCGTAATTAAGCACACAGTGGTAAAGGGCCCTTCCGTAGTAGCTACAAGAAGCTGACAAAACTTTTTGTACCTTTTCACTACTGCCTAAGTAGTGCACATCACTGCGAAGATCACTTTCATTCAAAACTTTTTCTCTCTACCGAAAATCACATCAAAATTTGTCCTTGCTAAATTTCAAGTGTGCTGCACGTATCAGCTCCCCCCGGGAACCCCTATGTATAAGAGGGTGAGGATGCGCGCCGGGAATTTCGAAAACGACCCCTATAAAATTATAAAAGGTACCTGAGTCTTATCCGTGTGGGAGTGGCAAGAACTGACATCTACCCCTATAAAGTGCCAATTTAAACACAAAAAAATTTAATCTCAAAAATAAGAACTTCTTTATCGATGTGCTCTAGAGGCTCAAGTCAGATCATTAAAATCGTCCTAGTGCCTATTAAATGCTTATTTCAGGTATTTGATTGAGCGAAAAACACCCTAAAAGGTACCCGCTAAGTCTCTGGCTGTCCACTAAAGTTTGAGACACCGTAAAAGGTACCAGATCACTGATTTTGACCCCTGAAAGGTACGACAAGCATCCTCACCCATTTCCGATCGCCTCCTCCCCCACCCTCCCCCACCAACCCTGTCAGCACCTAAAAAAAAAAAGATGTGATTTGCCAATTACGAGCCGTCAGTCTCACCTCGTAAAATTCACGTAAACTGGTTATTTACTAATAAAAACTTTAGGCACTGATCTGTCAGATTTTTTTTTTTATGCGGAAAAAATCTGTCCTGCTTCAGGCAGGACGGCTGTACTTTTTTTTGTTTTGTTCGTCTTGACATAATTTGGTAGGGATTAAAATAACTGTACGTCTGCATTTGTGAAACAGACTATACAAGTCCAGAACTCGATGTGTGCACTTCTAGTGTAGTAAGTATTCTTTTGTAACATGGCGAAAGATCTTGCGATGTCTACTGTTCAAGCCTTTTTCTCTTTTCAAAGAGGCATCAGAATTATTTTCATGTCAAATTTGCAGTAAACTGCTTGCGTGCCATCCTTTGTTTTCAAGGTGTCCGACCAGGTATGACTGAAAATGGCACCTCACTTTGATAGGAATCCTTTTGTTGTTGCTTCTTACTTCCTGGAATTATCACTTGAAATTCGCTCGGTAATGTAAAAAAAAAAAAACAATAACAACGCGAGCATGGGCTTAATGTAAGAAAACAAATCGTGCAATTGGCAAAATACCCCCCCCCCCCATCAAAAATCTAATGGTCTGTCAATAAGGTACCTTTTACATTATTCCAAAATGGGTTTCATCCCGGAATGAAATGAATTTCATACCGCGTTTACATGCAAGATAGTTTAGATTATAAAAACAAGTAGTAAAAACAAGTATTTACGTCCCTTTCCTATGCTTCTCTCGCTCCTAAAAAGGATTCATACAGATATGAGTGTCGAACCGCGTTTACTTTATACAGGTACAAAAGGTCATCCAAAATAAGTGTTTCGTTCTGGAATGAAAACCTCAATAAACTCATTCAGAAATGACTCTTTTCGAATAATTTTACTCTGGTATCATGTGGCAACCGGGATGAACTCTTTCTTGAACAAAACTCATTTCGATATCGTGTAAAAGGCCCCTAAGAGTTTTTATTCCCAGAGCATCATGCTTTGCTTTCCTGCCAGAACACTATAAATTTCAATTGCGTTGAAGCAACAGCCCGCTTTGAACTGCTACGCTGCCACTGAAACAACGATTAGTGACCACAAAAGTAACATATTGTAATATTGTCAATTCAACATAAACAAAAATCTTCATACAGGGTAAATATTCATTTGTGTTGGTATCAATTATTGCGTGACTAGCTTCTCACATAACTGGCATGGGATAGGGGAAAACACAACGTAAATACCCAAGCGCAATATAATGACCGAAACAGCTTAATGGTCTTATAAAATCATAAATAAACTAGGTAAGAGTGTTATGTTAGATTTTTTTTACAAATTGTAGTGATTTATGCCTCGATATGTCAATAAAAGGTGGCGACAAGTAGGCACACCATGTATATTTCATTGTCGCTAGCAAGTAAATTTTGTCGGACTTTGAGTTCGTCTCACGATAGAACAACACAATTACACAAGAAAATTTTTACAGTAACGTTATAACCATCCCTTTGTTTTAAAAGCTAGAAGCTCAGTAGATTCTGTCATTTCGGTCACTGTTAAAACTGTCTTTGTTTTGATGCTACTTTTCGACATAGAAAAAGTATGTCGGACAAAAATATTCACCAAAAAATAAATATTTTTTTTCCAGCCTCAATAATGTCAGGGGCTTAAGTTAAGATGATAAAACAAAGGATTATGCCGACAGAAATACCGGAGGTCAAGTAAATTCGTTACATGAGGTCACACAATTCGGGTAATATTCAGAGTGAAAATTTGCATATTTGAGCGGTCGAACGAAAAAAATCATTTCTCAGAAACTAAAATATTTTCACAAAAAAACTGCACCACAATTATTAGGACATATGAGGCTACAAAATATGAAAGTAGGAGAGGAAACGAATTTGGCCGACTTGCCGCTGTTGGTGTGATGCATGTTGATATTAGCTCTTAACTGGCTTCTGGTTTTGTGTCTATGTATCCCTCCCATTCTCAGAAGGGAAAAAATATTTATTTTGCCACTGGGTAATATGTTGAGATGATGTTTACAATCATTTTCAATCACCTTTTTTTCAGGCCAGGATGACTTAAAAGAACAACTTTTTAAGAAGCATCAGTCTTCTTACAGTTGCTATGGCTACAGGAAGAAGTTCAATTAAAGTTCCATGTGAAAATGAAGACTTACCTGACAAAGAAAATGCACCAGATTTTGACGAGGACACTTTACGAGGTGAGCAAGGTTCAACTTCGGCTTCAGTAATTGCTAGAACAATTTCTAGTGGATCAGTTTCAAGAATGCCAGCAGATGTGGGAAAGGATATATACAGTGTATGACCGCTTTAAAGGATATTTGGCCAGTCATGACTCTCTTCTATGATTACAATATGCTGTTCATTGAGAAGATCTATGACACAGAAACCTTTGTTATTTTCTTTTCTAACAGTGCAGAGCAGTAACACAAAGTTATAATAAGTTAAGACTTTATTTGATCATCATATAACATCCATTGTGTAAGTTTGCATCATAGGTACCATCATCATCATCTTTCTATTTCAGTGAAACATAATCACTTTGAAACCTTAACATTCCCTCCTTTCTCCTCGAGCAACCCACAGGCATTTGATCTTCATCCAAGCCAAAGAGGGTGGGGAGGGGGGGAGGGGGTTTAACCCTGCCTGACTGGCGTTAGGGAATTTGAATAAAAACTGTCACATCTAATTTCCAGTAGAGTACAAGTGTTAATTATCATTGAATATGGAGGTGTTTAAGGCAGATAGTGCTCTTTCACTAACAACTGTCTCAGAAGAAATAAGGCTTCAAGGTCTAGGTTTTAAAGCTTGGTCAATTAGTTTTTAAAGCTTGATCAATTAGTTGAAAGTGAAATTGCTAATTATTTCGCCTTTTACATAAGATTGTGTGGGGCATTTGAACATTTTATTAATTTTGCCCAGGGAATAGGAATATTAGGAAAACTATATCCAAAATCTCTCATCTCCAGGGGTTTGCCTCAAGTTGAGTGATGCTTAATTCTCATCATTATTCTTACCCATGTTGTCACCTACATTGTTAGCATCATCATAACTATTGAAAATCTGCGGATTTTAAATCTCCAGATCTTAACAGCTCTGACTATACACGAATAATTATTAACTACGACCACAGACTTTGACACCCATTTTTAAATTTTTTTTCGAATTATTTTATTTTTTCTTTGCAGCCACAGCTGATGTTTATAGGAATGAGGGTAATGAGGCCTTCAAGAAAGGAGATTTCATCAATGCTATTCATTTTTACACCAAAGGAATTAAAATGAACTGCAATGACAAAGAACTGAAGGCCAAACTGCACAACAACAGGGCAATCGCACATTCTAAACTTGGTAAGATGATGAGAGCTTTAATATGCATTTTTTTACTATTTTGAAGCTATTGAGTTGTCAGTAGTAGTTTTCTGAAAAAGGTGATAATTTTGAATGCATGCCCGGAAAATTTTACATCTTATCTTGGCCTCTCAAATATACAAAGAAGTAACTTCTTACCCCAGATATCAATGAGCATCACAAGTTTTTCCCAAAATTATAGTAATGGTAGTTGGTTTGCAACATGTATGGTTAATCAGAGATATTTATTTCAATAACAGGAAATCACCAGGATTCACTAAGGGATGCAGAAGCAGCCATTGAGTTAAATCCAACTTTCCTTAAGGCAATTGTGAGAGGTTAGATATGGTAGCTGTACTATAATAATAATAATAAAAAAGAACTCAACACTCTAAGGTTAAATGAGGTTAAATGGATTTCATCTTGTCTAAATGGACTTTAATTAAGAGGTCGAGACCACCCTGATGTACGTTTGAATCTTGCTCTTGACTGCTACGCCATTACTTCCATTAATCATGATGAGAATATTATTTTGAACGGGATGAAGAACTCAATGCGGAATGCAAAGCAAAATTTCAGCATGAATATTTTAGTTCCTTAAGTTCAATGAGTCACAGGTGTCAGATATGTTAAGAGCGTGTCCACGAGAGCACCGGGCAGTCGTGCTACATGCCATCTCACCGATTTCAATGAAACTTTGCCAGTTTAAAGGGTCTACCCCAAAACTCAAAAAGACAAACTGGTTTCTGTTTTGGTTTTTTTTCCGGGGGGAGATAGACCACCCCCCCGGTTTTTCTTGGTTTTCACCAAGGAAATCGCTTCAAATAGGTATAATGTATGAAGCTCTCACCGCGATGGTATTCAACTGATTACTTTGAGGATTTACACACATATTTTTTACATCCTTTGTTAATGTCTGCTGCGAGTATCAGTCAGTTTGATTGATAACTTGTCAATCAACAGAGGTAAATATACGGCAGTGTTTTTAGACTTTTCGATTTATCCAAATATTTGACAACTTTGAGGTCAAATATCTCCCATTGCCAGAAAGCTACAACACTAATCTTAATTACCCTTTATAACCCATCATTTCATCTCTGAAAATCATCAAAAAACTATTTGGGTACTACCGTATTTTTGTTTTGGATGCCTTTTAAAATCTGCGACTGTGACAAGTTTCTCTTAACTACACCTGTCACGCAATTCTTGCTCTAGGCGGTCACTTGACAAAATAAACCTACATTTTTTTGTTCTTTATACAAGATGATTGATCAAGAAAGGTTAAAAATGTTAAAAACTTTCGAGATTTTTTGTAGGAATGGAAAATTTGATAATTTGACGAGTAACCTTCCTGCAAATTTCCCTTGATGAAATCCCAAGACATAGTCAGTTGTTTTCGTGAGCAAAGACAATAAATATGAAAGAAAAGTGAGATGCAAATGCCTTTTTTTTTTTTTTTTTTTAGCTTAATAGTAGCTGTACCCTCTCTTGCAGTCTTCGTCTAAATTTTGAAAGGTCCCTCCTTATCTTCTGCCTTGTGCGGTCAGTTTCGAATTCTGAAGCTAGATCATCGGTATCGGCCTCTCCGTCCTCATTCATATTTACAGAGGAGGACCTCATCAATAAACCTCTTTTTGTTACGGCAGATAACCTGCTGAAGTATCGAGCGATTTGCTGCTGTATCAACCGGTGAGTATCACTGCACGAACTGAGAAAGTAAAAACTTGTATTTATCTCCCACGCGTTTCGTCTTACAATAGTAGACTTCATCAAGGATTTTTTCAAGTAGGGTAAATAAGCTTGCTCATATACAAATAGTAAGTAAGTTGTCTCTTTGCTATTGAAGCCAGTGGATAGAATTCGCCAGGTGCGCCTACGGTGTTATACATGCGTGACATTTTCCAGACGTTACATGTACGAGTAAGTGATCCGTTTGAGGGTCACAGATTTAGGGTAAATATTTCACCCCTCAACATCACGCAATGTCTCCAGTTTATAGAGGTCTTAGAACGTTTCATTATATGGAGTTGCCTTCTGCGGGTAGAAGGCTACAAGCGAATTTCTCAGGCGTAATTGCCTTTGATTTCTTAATTGATGTTGTCGCAAACCTAGTTTTTGGGAATCACAAGACAAAAAAAAAAAACTATCAGGACCTAGTTTCGTGTTCTAATGGAAATAAATAGCAAATAAAAACACATTTTCTTGAGAAATAAAGTCACAAATGACGGGGGTTCTCTGAAACAAATAGTGATAGAAAAGGATTTCAGTTCTGGTCAATATTGACTTTTCCCGGCCAACTTCCAAGTCTGAGGGAACGCACTGAGGGAATAAAAAAACATAAATGTGTGGTAATGCAAGCAAGAGAATAAAAATCCAAATAAAGAAAAAGGAGAAAACATAGGAACCCGTGTTGCAGCGTGCAGATAACTTTCGAGCCAGACCTACAAACCTAAGCCCGACACCACCCAGAGAAACTCGAAAGAATCCTGTATATGAACTAGCTCGCACGTGCACACAGGAAAGGCCATGACAATCAGCGAAAATGATAGCAATGCAAATGATATTTGCAGTCAAAAAACAGAAAAATAAGATAACAGAAGGATTAAGAACTTTTTAGAAGTATCTTCTTGAAAAAAAAAGATGAACAATTTTTACTTCTCATGAAAAGTCACGCAGTAACCCTACAAATACTATTTCTATACGTGGAATTTCTTGATGGTGGAAAGTGGAAAAAACATTTTCCAGTCTTATTTTCTGGAAACATGGCGTAGTTAATGAATTTATGGGGCTATTGATATTTCCTATCAAATAAGGGGGGCAGAGTTTCCCGTCATGCGCGGTATGGAAAAGCCGAAGTTGTTACACTCGGGAACTTGTACGTCAACAAGCAGGCGACATGTGACTTTAAAATCTCCTCTCCTGTTACAGTTTCCTTATTGTAAATTGTGCGATAATGATAATAGACGATCAAAGTATAGGCTAATGAATGTTTTGTTCTGTACCCTATGTCCTGACTTTAGCAAATCTTGAAAGTAATAAACGACTGAAGAAAGAAACGCAACGATTTTCCCATTGATTTTTCGTCAACATGCATCTTTCTAAACGTGAAATTTTCCATTCCTACAAAAAATCTCGAAAGTTTTTAACATTTTTAACCTTTCTTGATCAATCATCTTGTATAAAGAACTAAAAAATGTAGGTTTATTTTGTCAAGTGACCGCCTAGAGCAAGAATTGCGTGACAGGTGTAGTTGAGAGAAACTTGTCACAATCGCAGATTTTAGAAGGTATCCAAGACAAAAATACGGTAGTGCCCAAAGATTTTTTTGATGATTTTCAGAGATGAAATGATGGGTTATAAAGGGTAATTAAGATTAGTCTTGTAGCTTTCTGGCAATGGGAGATATTTGACCTCAAAGTTGTAAAATATTTAGATGAATCGAAAAGTCTAAAAATACAGTCGTATATTTGCCTCTGTTGATTGACAAGCCGTCAATCAAACTGACTGATGTTCGCGGCGGCCATTAGCTAAGGATGTAAAAATATGTGTGCAAATCCTCAAAGTAATCAGTTAAATACCATCGCAGTGAGAGCTTCATATATTTTACCTATCTGAAGCGATTTCAGTAGTGAAACCCAAGAAAAACCAGGGGTGGTCTATCTCCCCACGGAAAAAACAAAACAGAAACCAGTCTTTTTTTTTTTTTTTTTAGTTTTGGGGTAGAGCCTTTAAACTGACAAAGTTTCGTTGAAATCGGTGAGATGGCATGTAGCACGACCGCCCGGTGCTCTCGTGGACACGCTCTTAAGTCACTATCTAGCTGTTTTAGAAAAAGGATCAGGACTTACCTAACTCTTAGTGTTTTTTGTGGGAAGTTGTTGATCCCAATTTAAGTGTTCTTAGAAGTTTCAGTTGTCTGTAAAGCTAAATAAATCTAACTGAAACCTAATAGGGCCTGTTTATTCTTTTCCGTTTAGTTTCTTTGTTTTGTTTTGTTTTGTCTTTTTTTTTTCTTCTCGTCTGTAATGATTTCAATGGTTTCAGGTTCTTTTCTCAGAATTGAGCTACAGTAATAGTATGCTTCTTTGTGTTGTTGCCTACAGGAGCCGCTGCTTGTGTTGAATTGAAGAGATTTGAAGAAGCAATCACTTGGTGTGATAAGGGACTAGCTGTATCCTTTGAAAGAATCGTTCATTTTTAACCGTGGGTATAAAAAAAAGTTTCCATAATTTGATGTTTCAAGGGAGAAAATACAAAGAAGGGTATTAATTATGATGGGAACTTGTCAGCTCATATACTTTAAGTGTGTGTGATTAATAATATAGGAGACGTTATAACCTCATGACTTATTAATGAAATTACTCCTTTTAGCCAATTTGACTTAGTTCTACTATCCATGCCAATAACTGTTATATTAGTTTAAATCACCCTTTAATTTCCATACCATTTGCCTAGAAACGATAATAACAAAGTAGTTTGCATTTAAAAAGCAGCAATGTTTTTATCATAACAAGGTCACCCTTAATCATCGCTCTTGTTCAGAGGCTTGGGAACCAAGAACGCAAATGTTAAAATGGACTATTACATATCAATATGATCAGAAACATAATCTTTTTTGTTTTTTCCACATTTTTTACCCTTAACATAAAAAAGAATGACAAAAACAATAGGATCTTGTTGTCATTAAGACTTCTGTCTGTCAGTGAAGTGGGAGATACGTCCATGGAGGAAAAAGATCCTATTAGTCATGACCATGGTTGTGCAAGTTCAGGTGATGTCAAGAAAGTCATAGATCTCTATAATCGGGGAGAAGAAGCCATAGAGTACCTACACCTATATCTTAAAAAAGCTAAAGAAGTAGGAGACAAGCATGGGGAGGGTGACGCTTATGGCAGTCTTGGCAATGCTTATCACCGTCTGGGTGATTTCAAAAAAGCCATAGAGTACTACAACCTACATCTTAAAATAGCTAAAGAACTAGGAGACAAGCATGGGGAGGGTAACGCTTATGGCAATCTTGGCAATGCTTATCACCGTCTGGGTGATTTCAAAAAAGCCATAGAGTACCACAACCTACATCTTAAAATAGCTAAAGAAGTAGGAGACAAGCATGGGGAGGGTAACGCTTATGGCAATCTTGGCAATGCTTATCACCGTCTGGGTGATTTCAAAAAAGCCATAGAGTACTACAACCTAGATCTTAAAATAGCTAAGGAAGTAGGAGACAAGCATGGGGAGGGTAAAACTTATGGCAATCTTGGCAATGCTTATATTAGTCTGGGTGATTTCAAAAAAGCCATAGAGTACCACAACCTACATCTTAAAATAGCTAAAGAACTAGGAGACAAGCATGGGGAGGGTAACGCTTATGGCAATCTTGGCAATGCTTATCACCGTCTGGGTGATTTCAAAAAAGCCATAGAGTACCACAACCTACATCTTAAAATAGCTAAAGAAGTAGGAGACAAGCATGGGGAGGGTAACGCTTATGGCAATCTTGGCAATGCTTATTTTAGTCTGGGTGATTTCAAAAAAGCCATAGAGTACCACAACCTACATCTTAAAATAGCTAAAGAAGTAGGAGACAAGCATGGGGAGGGTAACGCTTATGGCAATCTTGGCAATGCTTATATTAGTCTGGGTGATTTCAAAAAAGCCATAGAGTACCACAACCTACATCTTAAAATAGCTAAAGAACTAGGAGACAAGCATGGGGAGGGTAACGCTTATGGCAATCTTGGCAATGCTTATATTAGTCTGGGTGATTTCAAAAAAGCCATAGAGTACCACAACCTACATCTTAAAATAGCTAAAGAACTAGGAGACAAGCATGGGGAGGGTAACGCTTATGGCAATCTTAGCAATGCTTATGACAGTCTGGGTGATTTCAAAAAAGCCATAGAGTACCACAACCTACATCTTAAAATAGCTAAAGAACTAGGAGACAAGCATGGGGAGGGTAACGCTTATGGCAATCTTGGCAATGCTTATTTTAGTCTGGGTGATTTCAAAAAAGCCATAGAGTACCACAACCTACATCTTAAAATAGCTAAAGAAGTAGGAGACAAGCATGGGGAGGGTAACGCTTATGGCAATCTTGGCAATGCTTATCACCGTCTGGGTGATTTCAAAAAAGCCATAGAGTACTACAACCTAGATCTTAAAATAGCTAAAGAAGTAGGAGACAAGCATGGGGAGGGTAAAACTTATGGCAATCTTGGCAATGCTTATATTAGTCTGGGTGATTTCAAAAAAGCCATAGAGTACTACAACCTACATCTTAAAATAGCTAAAGAAGTAGGAGACAAGCATGGGGAGGGTAAAGCTTATGGCAATCTTGGCAATGCTTATGACAGTCTGGGTGATTTCAAAAAAGCCATAGAGTACCACAACCTACATCTTAAAATAGCTAAAGAAGTAGGAGACAAGCATGGGGAGGGTAATGCTTATGGCAATCTTGGCAATGCTTATCGCAGTCTGGGTGATTTAAAAAAAGCCATAGAGTACTACAACCTAGCTCTTAAAATAGCTAAAGAAGTAGGAGACAAATCCTTTGAGGCAATGGCCTACTCTTCACTAGGATGCGTTTTTGAGTTGCAAGGTGGACTGCCAAAAGCCGTTGAACATTATCAAGCTAGCATAAACTTATTCAATTCCTTGAGAGTACTTCTAAAATCTAAAGATGAGTGGAAAGTTAATTTTCGAAATCAGCATCAAATGGCGTATACGGGTTTGTGGAGAGTTCTCGTAGAACAAGGTAATGTAGATGAAGCCTTATTTGTTGCTGAGAAAGGACGAGCTCAAGCTCTGACCGACCTCATGGAATCCAGTTTTTGTGGTGGAACAAGTCACCACAAGGGAGAAGATGAAGATTTCACAGTTTTAAAAAACGTTCCATCAAACACTGTCTTTCAGGCAGTGGACAAAGCTATTGTCAATCTTTGGGTTGTTTCCGAAGGAAAACAAATTCGGTTAAGGCAAAGTAAACTCAAAGGTTTTGTTTCAGAGAATAGTGGAGTTAGCCAGTCCTTTGAGTCGTTCATGCTCGGTGTCTACACACAACTTGGTGTTCGTTCTAATGTGAGATGCGAGAATCGATCTTTAGATGCTTTGAGGGAGGGCCGTTCAAAAGTGGATGAGAAAACCAAAGAAGACAGCCCTCGACCTCCCATCCAACAAAAAGAATGCTTGAGCACTTTGTATGATACCGTCATGAAGCCAGTGGCTGACCTGGTTCAAGGGGATGAGCTAGTCATTATTCCCGATGGACCCCTGTGGCTTGCTCCTTACGCTGCATTGAAGAATGGTAATTCTAATTACCTGTGTGAATCGTTCACAATCCGACTCGCTCCATCGTTAACAAGTCTTAGACTCATCGCCGATTGCCCAGATGATTATCACAAAAGCAGTGGCGCGTTGCTCGTAGGAGATCCGTGGGTAGCCGAGGTTACTAACAGCGAGGGAGAGAAAGTCCTCGAGCAGCTTCCGTGTGCTAAAGAAGAAGTAGAAATGATCGGAAAAATTCTGAATATCACGCCAATCACTGGCAGTCAGGCCACGAAACGTGAGGTGTTGAAAAGACTCAGTTCCGTTTCCTTAGTTCACTTTGCGGCACACGGATGTATGGAAACTGGCGAAATTGCTCTTACACCTGACCCACACCGAATATCCACTGTGCCAACGGAGGAGGATTACATTTTAACAACTGGAGATGTGCTGAATGCTCAACTTCGGGCCAAACTTGTTGTGCTTAGTTGCTGCCACAGCGGCCAGGGCGAAATCAAGGCTGAAGGTGTGGTTGGCATTGCGCGCGCTTTTATGGGGGCTGGTGCTCGGTCTGTTGTGGTGTCCCTGTGGGCGATTGAAGACAAGGCTACTCTTGAGTTCATGAAATACTTTTATCAACAACTTGCAGGAGGTAAACGAGCAAGCGAGTCACTGAACCTGGCCATGAAAAGCCTCAGAGAATCAGACAAGTTCTGCGACATCAAACACTGGGCGCCCTTTTTGCTGATTGGAGATGACGTCACTCTTGACTTCATGGCAAAGGAAAGAGAAAATTTAAATATGATCACATAAATGAAAACTTTTTATTTCATCTCAAAATGAATGACGCAGGAACTTGGAAGGTTTAAATGCTTCTCTATTTTGGCGCTTTTTGGCTATTTTTCATGACTTTTGACTTTTTTGTTAAATGGAACTTGAGATGTGTGACTTTACTTTGATGAAGAAATAAAACAGGCTATTTCAGTATATTTTGTTCAATGGAATTGCTATTTTTTTACCTTTACAAATTTAGATGCTTGCGAAGAGAACAAGATGCAACAAGGCTTCTGTTGCTAATGCCTGAAGTTGTTGAAGGCGACTACGAGGTTTTCGTTTCGCCAAAAGGACACTCAGATCTATTCGTTTATTGCAATCAGTTGTATGGGAAATAATTTGAAGGTTTTTTTCTTGTACACAACCAGGAGCTTGTCCACAGGGTTTTAATTACGTTGATACTCTAAGCTTTTGATAAGCAAAGAAACAGTTTGTCAGTTGCAAAAGGTGGCGAAATTTTAATTTAAAAAATTTGATTTGCAAAATTCGCAGCCATATGGGAATTGATCTTAATGGTTTTTCTACGTCATAAATTAATTTGTTGCAATTTGCAATTACAAAAAAATTGATTATCATTTTCAACTTTTTTTCAATTCATTTTAATGCAATCCAATTCCATCAGTGCCAAGATTGCCATTCTAAGCTTAATTTGAAGAAGTAATCATCAGAGATGATGTTGTTGAATTTACTGACCATATGTTAGAGACATTAGACCTACTCTCAGGGGTGTGGCCAGCCTCTAGTCCCGTGGGCCCGGCCAACAATTGTTTTCCGCCCACTTGACTTTTCTAATATGACTCTTACAAATGTTGAAACAAAAATTAAAATTTCTCAGGAAAAAGGCCTACAACAAGTCAAAGAGCTGACTACAACGGCCTGCTTTCAATCAAACGAGTTTGATGAATTTTAGTCCGTTTTATCAAACACTCATCTGTTTATTTTAAAAAACCACGACAGACAAATTGTCCATGTAATCTAAACAAGGAAATAGCGAAGCAGAGTTTACTTTAACTGAAGTTTCCATAGCTGTGACTTTTAATGTATGTGACATGGAATTTGTTGTTTCTAGTAGGAAAATGTTTACGCTAATAAATTAGGGAAACAGTTGAAGTAAGCCATGTAGTTCTCAATGGGAATTATTCTGGTGAAAATGTTTATGAATAAATGTAAATGTAGACCGCAGTAAAAAGGTTGACGGCTTCAGGATAAAACTTGCATTTTTTTGAAAATTTCAAGTTCAAATTTTTTTCATGGCTTTAAATTTACCTTAGTATAATTTGAAGATGTCGGATGATATCTTTCTTAGATTTAAGAATTTATACTTAGGTATTCCGAGCACGCTTTGTGATTAGAACCCGTTATGTGGTCAAAAGTTTAAGGTATAATGTATCACGGCTGTTTTAAAAGAAATTTTTTGTAAAATCAATGTTAATTTTTGGCAGGTTTTCATAACTACCATTGGTATATGCTGGTATAAAATGTAATAGTTAACCTCGCACACGGTTGAATATGATGTAACGTAGGATTTTAACAACAAGCTGGGACAGTTTTAACTAAATATGCTTTTTATAATGTCAGTGTATTTCGTGTGAATTGTTTTGATGCTATTTGTATTTAAAGTTGAAGCTATTTGTCCATTTACCTTAGTTTTTATTCATTAACTCATTAACTCCCAAGTTCTGAAGAAAAATTCTCTCAACTGATAAGAATGTGTTTCTTTGTCGCTTCATTCTGGGAATTCGATGAAACATAACGTTTCTAGTGAAAAATAATCCTCCAGTTTAGATTTTCTCTAATTCTTATTGACACCATGTTTGTCGGTGCATTGATTTTGTGAGGAGAATTTAAGTTATGATCAGTCTTGGGAATAAATGGGTTTATTTTAGTGTCTCTGTTTAGCGCGTACTTTACTTAATGCCTTGAACAATTTAATGCAGTTTGTATTGTACTTTTTTTTTACTTTTTTGTGTAAGAGAGATATACAGCGTCTAAAATACAAAAACTGCGTTGATTTTCATTGTCTGTCTCCATATTCTAGGGATTCACGTGAGATGTAGAGAGAACAGATCCTATGGGGACTTCAATGCTTATTTTGACCCGTCAAGTTGATAATCTTTGCAGCTGACAGTGTACTGACATTCCATGTTTCAAGCCCCCACCCACTTAACAAACGCTCGCCACCTCTTCGATTGTGTCTCTTTCACTGTCTACCGTTCTCCATATTGTCACACGATTTTGAATGCCGACGGACGTGTTCATACTGTTACCTGTGTGCGCCCTTTTTACCTTTATCCTCACACAAGTTTTTACACCTTTTCACATTTGCGCATCTCTTTTTTCTCCTTCCTTTTGTTTCTTCCCTTTTTTTCATCGTACTTTTCCTTTATTCCCATTTTTACGCGCACTTCTTTCATCGCCCTCAACTTTATTCTTCTACGCGCTTCATTAGACGCGACTATCTCCTTGTCTGTTTCAGTTTTCATTCGTCTCAATCCTCGCGCAACGTCAGGTCTCTTACAATTCATATACCTCCTTACTCCCCCAGAGTAGTTGTTATTATGCTTATTTTGTTCACTTTAGGATAGTGTCCTCTTAGCATCATTTCTGGTAAAATCTCAGTTTTCCTTTCGACTCATTCCCAGTCCACAGGGGGTCTCACTTTTAAGTCTCACTTGCCAGTGTTTGCTCTCCTCAGTCCTCTCATCACAGTAGCAGCTATAAAACGAAAGAGCTCCCTCCAAGTCTCTGCGACATAATCGATGCATTTTGTTGGAAACGAGTCCTTCAATGTCCAAATTAAGGCTTCTTTCTATCATCTGATTGGGAATGGATCAAACTCTCGCCCAGGGTCCACCTACATCGCGAATCCAAGATGGCAGCAGGCCAATCCACAGACTTCTCCGAGTCGATAGCCGCCATCTTGGATGTAGACGCAGAGAGGACCTTGAAAAAAAGTGTTTTGACTAAACAATTATTAAGAAAGGTTAAGTTATTGTAATGCTTCCTAAGAGGTAGTCGATAACAGCCCGAGAGATTCATTATGAGCAAACACGTTCCGTCGGTTATTCGACTCCATGTCTCCTTACGTTGTATAATAAACTCCTCGAATACGTACGTCTATATGCCCTTCTCCCCCTCCCTTAAATAGCAATATACATCCCTCTACTGCAACTTTTATCATAATACAGCACAATACAACATTATACCCCTGAGTAGCACTGTAAATCCGTCAAATGCAGTAACTGTGCAGCGCATCACAACAATATGAACCCCTAAATAGAACTGTGCTTCCCTCTACTGAATTTTACATCACCATACAGCGCTATATAAACTATTGCTCCAATTTGGCGCGAAAATAATTGAGGATATTTGTCCGCGGACATTATCTATTCCAAGATGCCAAAACTGTGAGCTTCGAGGGACAGACAATGTCCAAGGACAAATATCCGAACATATTTTCGTGCAAAATAGAGGCTATTGTGATTTTTATCCTTCAACTATTTTGCAACGCTCGTGAAAAAATCTTTATGAACAGCTCACTGAATTGAATTAAAGTTTAAACGAAGACTTATCGAGGTGGACGTAAGGTTTACAAATTGGGGAATATCGCTTGCGTGATATTCTCGGATATCACCCAGTATTAGCTGTGGGATATTTAGTTACTAGCTGCGTTTACACCAATTGCTCGCGGGCAAAAATATTTGATGGATCATAAAAAGCAACATGCACCCCTAGATAGCACTTTACTTCTCTCTTCCGCAATTTACATCACAATACAGCGCTCTAAAACAACATATATCCTATACTTCTCTCTTCTGCAGTTTACATCACCATACAGCGCTATACATCAATAGGTACCCCTAGATACCACTGTACTTCCCTCTTCTGCGCCCTACATCACGATACAGCGCTATACAACAATATCTACCCCTAGATAGCATTATACTTCTCGGTACTGCAGTTTACATCACAATACAGCTCTATACAACAATATGTACCCCTAAGAAACCTTGATCGGCATAACAGAATACAGACATCGAAATTTTCCAGCCTCTCGGGCCATGCTTTGTGTCTTTCTCCAAGGTTCATTAAATACTCGATGAAAACCTTTGCGTCGTTTAAAGAAAACACAGCATTTTCCAGCGCAGTCATGACTCGTCTGACGTGAAGACACAGAGATGGCGAGTTGATTGAGGCTTTTAGTTTCAAACTCTTAAAGGCGGGAAATATTTTTGAAACAAAATCATTGACGAACATCACTATTAATTCTGATTAATGTAAATTCGATTTACGTTTACTTTAGATAATAAATTTTACTCCCATTTTGCCAATCATACAAAGAAATCAATACACTGAACAATACCTTCAACAAGACACAGCTACACAGTTGTAAATCTCCATCCTCATCCTCAGTAGAACTATGCTATCACAAAGGTGGAATAATCGCGGAAGAATAACCGCGCTTAAGACCTTCCTATATACCAAGGAATTCGTGCTACTGGATTCGACATTTTCCAGTAACCTACTTTCACATTTAACGTGACGTTCAGCTAAGATCAGCAAACTGTTTCTTTTTTTCTTCATTTTAAACGATTCCAATCCTAATAGTGGTATCATATTTACATAAGAATGCTAATGTCAACTTGAGACTCTGCATTAATTTTTTTTGATGAAATGAAACACAACAAACCAGAGATACCACGTACTTAAAACACTAACCGTTTAAACATTTTCTTCCACATGACGCTCTTAACGGGCTCAAAGAGCTGTCAAAGTTCTCTTAAAATCCGTTTTCGTTCGTGTGATAGCTTGACTTCTATTTCGATTTGACAGTTCAGTTCGACAGTTTGTCTGTTAAACCTTAAATGAAGATTTGTAGACACCAGCTGAATAGATTTATGAATTTGCTTAACGGCGAATGAATGCATTGAAATCAAAATTGATTTTCTTTAAGCTCAGCTCACTGAACTACAAGTCTGCTGTCAGATGATTAACGTGGACGCTATTTTAGTCCCTTAAATTTCTCATTTCTCAATGCGTCAGCAACTGAAATTATATTCATGAAACAGGGACGCATTTTGTGACACAAATCTTGGCAATGACTGGTGTAAGCCGCAAAGGTACAACGGACGATTACTGGTCATTCTGATTTTTCGGTCATTGCTAACGTAGTACTTGTGGTCATAAGCATGATCCTAAGCAGACCCTTGCAAAAGTTTCACCAAAACTGCAGAGACCTGAAGATTTTCGCTTAAACAAACAACATTGGAGTAATATCAAGGTAAGAAAAAAAAATTATTTTTGATTTTAATGAAGCCTTTTGAATTTTCTGAAACACACTTGTAAGTGCAATGACAGCTGAATGTTCCTAATAAAGACGAAATAACCTTGGCTTTGCTCTCTAAAATAAAGACTAAATATTTAGAAAGTAATTATTGTATGATTTGAGTGATCAGTTCTGTGATGTTTACCCTGAAACGGCATTTAAAAAATTGAAAACTATTTCTAGCTTCCGCACAGAACTCATGTTGAGCTTCTTGTGTTGTTTCGCTGCTCGTCTGTCTTCGTCCTTTAAAATGATAAGTTTGTTTGGGACATTAGGATTAGTGTTTTTTTAGCAAAATAACTGGCCCAGCTTGGACTGCCCTATTTACCGGACCAGGTAGGAATTCGCATCAGCTGACCTTTTTCTATTTTTTTTTTCCCTGTTTAACACAGAGATCTCTTACACAATAAACTTTCAGCACCTTTGCTTTCTCAAAGTTCAGAGTCCTCTTACTTCATAACTTTTTCATTCAGTACGATGGTGTTGTAGTCTTCGCGGCTTACTGTTATGAAAAATTCCTAAACTACACAGCATTGAATTGTTGTTGTTAAGTGCTTCTTAATAATTGTGTGCTGAAAATAATACGCGCCTATCAAAACAACATTTCCATTTACTATGAAGCGAAACTTACGACGTACATCTAAAAAGTTCTGCTTTGATTCTTTTTTATCCCTTAGTATTGATCAAAGGATCGACAGTTTTTAAGGAGAGATCAGTGTATTGTGTGGACATAGACGAGCATGTATCACTCCTGCACCGCTCAAGCTATTACCTGACTTTGGGCGGCAAATGATATGAACATCATGCACTCACTGAATTTTTCTCTGTCTTTAACATGATTGATATCACTGTAAATAAATCAAGATTGTGTATATAATTTAAATTAAATATAATATGTGAGACCCTAATGCTACTTTTTTTGTTTTTAACCCATTTTTAGAGAGGATATATATTACAAGTAATTCAAGCTACGTTGAGCTGATGGCTACTGTTACCTATTGTAGTCATCTTTTCATATGATAGCGTTAATACAGAAATTTAGTAGCAAACAATTCTTCACATCTATAGTAGCTATGGAGAGGATTTCAATTGAAGTTCCAAGTGTGGACGTTGAAACAGCTGACAAAGAAATTACACAGGATGTTAATGAAGACTACTTACAAGGTAAGGTTCGCTTTAAGCTTCAGTTACTTTACTACAAGAACATGCACTGTGTATTCCCGCTGTATGTAGATCGTAGCAGAGGCACAGCTGCATGTATAACCACCCCGTGGGGTGTGCTTCCTAGTTATAGGCTGATGGGGATGTGCCGCTGGATAGAGTGGCATTTTCACGACCAAATTGACTATGGACTGTAGCATTCTAGACAGAGTTTATTAACACTTTCGAAATTTCGGGTGTAAGAAAATTCTAAGCCTACTTTGAAGGTAGGGTTAAATGACGGAAAGTTCGCAGTTAGAAGGTCGTTACCAGCGCGTATTACCAAAAGTTACTAAGATGGGGTCGATAATTAGCCACAGAATAAACTATAATGAGATTGGGGTTCTGAAAGGCCAGCGGCACATACCCCACAAAAGTTGACTCAAGCGACCCTTCAATTTATCTTAAATATTTTCTTCTACAGGTGATTGTGACGTTAACATCATGACAGCTTGCCCCGAAATATTTTTACCCTTTACGGTGGCTAATTTACGTTTTCAACCCAGTTACTAACACTAAATTACTTGCCCCGAAATAGCCACAGATACGGAAATCAGCCAAAATAATACTAATCTGGCCAAGACAACGAAATCTTTGTTATCTAGTGGTCTTCAGTTTGTTGTTGCTATGGTAACTAGTTAGTGCACTTCCAAACATGATTCGTGATGTTGCTTGTTTCAGGGCCCAATCCGCCGCATATCAGTGCAAAAAAAAAAAAAAATGCCGCTTTCCCTTTTTCAGAACAGCTAACAATAGTGTGGCTGGCTTCGCTTTGTATTTTCACCGTTCAGTTGTTGCAATTCGTTCCATATCCCCGGTTAGCTTCATATCAGCTCATGTTTGTTCCTTCATTCTCGACTCTGGTTCTTCTTCTCACCCTTGCCTTGTGTTAATACATCAACTTATTCATTTCTATCAAGTCTTCTTCATTTTGGGTCATAATTTTTTTCTCGATAGTAAGTTATATTCTCAAAATTTTAGCTGTAGGATTTCTAAATTCCATCTATGGGCGGCCGTCACCGCAAAAAATACAAAAATATAATTGGTAGGTAATCAGTAACAGATATAGTCTAATTGTCTTTTTGAGAACACTTGATCTTATCTTAAGAGATTTATTTAAAATACAAATGGACAAGTCGCCTTTGGTGAAATGAAATATTCAAACAAAAAATGTTTATACAATTCAGGAGCTGTGTAGCCAACCTTGTTGAACTGAATCAGTAAAAACACGAGTGGCCAAGTGTTAACTGAAATGGTTCAGTGTCGAAATGACAAACGGTTCAGCTATAAACTGGACTTTCGTTTAGTGACTTGACACAAACGGTTCAGAGAAGTGTGAAATGTCTTAAGTTATCGGCAAATGGTTAATCGTAAGCCGCAATGGTATAGTATCGAATCAATCTACTCACCGTAAAGTGAAATGGTTTCGCGTGACCCAAATGGTTTAGCGTGACGACAAATGGTTTAGTACAAACCGAAATGGTTTAGTGTTACAGCAGTTGGTTTACGCAATAACCACCAAAAATCCAAAAGGAAAGTAGACAAGTCAAGCGCTTGAAATGAAACAGTCTATGTGGGGTCTAATGTCACAACCTACGTCATTCAGATCGAATTTGGCGCGAAATTCGCCAGAAAGGGGTATTCGCTACGCCGTCCACTCGACGTTTAACACAGCAACAAATTATTTCTGTAGCCTCGTCTACTAGACTCAGAGAGCCTCACTCCGGTAATAACCTTTTTCATATTTGTCTATTTCAGCTTGCTAGCGAATAAATTTATACCCTCATCATCTTACCGCAATATCAGTAAGTAAATGATATTTCGGATGAAACTGTTTTTATCGAGCTGCAGAACGTTCAGTAGCTCAATAATCATTTACTGAAAATGAAAGTAAGCTTTCACAATGATGTATTTTCCTATCGTTTCAAACCATATGCTTTTTTTTAACTCCAATTTTTTATAGTTTGTTAAAACTAAGTTAAGCCGCAACTATTAGAGACTTAATCTTGAGGTTGTAAACTTTCTGATAGTTGCGGCTTAACCATGTTGGGAGTTCAAATCGCTCTTAGCTACTTCTAAATTGTCCTTTTGTTCTTTTCAGTTTCTGTAAGTGAAAACTGCTGTACTTTAAATGGAGAATTGTTACCTTGGTCATGGTAAGAATTCCCCATTTTTTTACCTCGATATAAAATAAGAATCTGAAACAAGAGGAATAACAAAAATACAGATAAAATGCATCATTTTACACGACAGCACATTTACCGTCTAGACAGTAAGAACCATAGCCAGGAAACGTGATAAAGCGATTCATTGTTTTAAGACGACGAAACTACAACTAAAGGGCGCCTAAAAACTATATAGTTTTTATAGTTTTGAGGCGCATTTTAGATTCTTATCCTATTCAATTTCAAGCTTGACTTTTCCATTTCCCTTTTGTATTTTTGGCGGTTACGGCGTAAACCAACTGCTGTAACAAAAAACCATTTCGGTTTGTACGAAACCATTTGTCGTCACGCTAAACCATTTGGGGTCACGCTAAACCATTTCACTTTACGGTGATTAGATTGATGCGATACTAAACCATTGCGGCTTACGATTAACCATTTGCCGATAACCTAAGCCATTTCATACTTCCCTGAACCGTTTGTGTCAAGTTACTGAACCAAAGTACAGTTAGCTGAACCGTTGTCATTTCGACACTGAACCATTTCAGTTAACACTTGGCCACTCATGTTTTTATTGAATCAGTTCAACTTAGGGTGGCTACACAGCTCCTGAATTGTATAAACCATATTTTGTTTGAATATTTCATTTCACCAAAGGCGACTTGTCCATTTGTATTTTAAATAAATCTCTAACGATAAGATAAATCGTTCTCCAAAAGACAATTAGACTCTATCTGTTATTACAAACCAATTCTATTTTTGTATTTTTGGCGGTGACAGCCGCCCATATGTGGGCTCTTCTTTCAATTTACGTTGAAGAATTTCCGGCTTCAAGCTTGCACAGATTTATGGGCCAAGAAACTCCCTGTTTCATTTTCACAACGCGCCGTTGCGATTCTCCGTTCCATGACATAGCTTTCGAGTCTTCTTAGTACTTTCTCTGTCTTAGTGACTTTGAAACATTTTCATGACGGACTGAGGAAGCAAGGTCGTAAAATAGTCAAACGTGCCTTCCATTTCCGCGACAGAGGTAAGAACGCATGGTTGTATCAGATTTTTGAGTATAAAGTAAATACTTTTATTTCAAATTTTTTTAGTTGAGATTTCCTCCTTCAAATGTTCCTCATCTGTCCGAACTTTCTCTGATTTCCGACAATGAAAGACGTTCCTGCAGTTAAGTGACAACGATTGCCAACTTTTACTTTATTCTGGCGTGTATTAACTGTATTGCCGCTTCGTGTTAGTTATAAGCTTATTAAGCTGAGCTTATTTTAACAAGTTACAGCTTTCGAATTCACAAAAATTCGCAAGCAATGCCTGCCATTTACCTTGGACAAAATAAGTAATTCGGGAGAGTTACAAAGGATATCCAAATTATCGATTTGATTCAGTGCAAGCCCTTTTGATCGCAACACTTTCAGTTTCGTTTGCGTGTCATGCGGAGCATGTACACAATCGTGTTTGGCACAAGCTTTCATGTCGAGCTTATGTACGAATTAACTTAATTTTCTCCCGTATTTACAATGCATTTGATCAAAAAGCGATAAACGTTTTCAGCGTATTTCATGCCTTTATGTTTATCATTTTATACTGTAGTTTGAAAGTGATTTTTTCTTTTCGATAGACAGCTTAGATTGTCCTTCCAAACTGTACTGTAAAACTGATTTCCTTGTTAAATATTGAGACAAGTTGATTTTTCTTCAAATTCAGCTAGTTATTTACTGCAATAGTCCTTTCAATTAACTGCATTCGAGTTTTAGGAGTCCAATTCATCAACTGGTAATGATTGATTAGTGTCTGAGTGAAGTTTTACCTTTTGTCATCTGCTAATCAACATACGATCAATCAATAATCATACCAACTGAATGTTTCCGATCAATTTTTTTTTTATCAAAACTGGTTTAGTTCTGCATGAGGCTGCATGCATCCAAGTATGTGTTTGGTGATAATTTATGTTGTTATATGGCAAGGTAGTCTTGGGATAAATGTAAAGTTCTGATTGGTTCTTACTTGGTCAGGATTTTGCCACATAAACCATCATTGCACCATACAGAAAATCATAAAACATATAAATTCATTGTAAACTAGTTTAGTCCAAGTGACATTGGTGCATTACAATTACCTTGCTCTCTTGAGGGGTACTAGGGAATATTGGCACCATGTCATTCCTATACTGTTACAACCTTGGGCCAATATACCTCTGTAAAGCCCTGGTAATCAGCTGGTTATATAGAAGTTGTAGTGGTTTTTGTAAAAGCGATATACACTTACAGGCTATTTTGAATTCCAGTTCAATTGACTTCCTTTTTACTTCACATTTATTGAATTTTTTTGTACATGAAGACAGCCAGCAAGGATTATTTGATATTTAAAAAAACAACCAGTCATGATTATTAGGAGAATTAAAGTTAGCATCAAAGACAAATCAATTGTGTGCACAGACAATGTAAATATGGAATAACTGCAAAAACAGTCAGTTAAATATACATCTACTAATAAAGCAAAAATGTCAGCACCTGCACCAAATTGAAATCCATTTCAACATGCATCAGCATGCATAAATATTTCACTGTTTTTCCTGTGATAAAGTGAAACAGTTGAACTAACAATCACCTATACAAATATGGGCATCAGCTCAACTGTATGAAATTGAATAAATGAAATATATCTTTTATAAGTTTTGACCAGTAATCCCTATTTAAAAATCAAATAAGAAAATTTTACTTTGGTGTTGTAAAATTTGTTTCTTATGAGAAACGATTCAGCATAAACTCTCTCCTCTTGCGGAGACATGGTGGTCCTATGATTAGTGAGGTGGACGCACAGTCATGAGGTCTGCATTTGTAGCCTAGCCTGTGCTGGACTCAGGGTCAAGAGGTCTGGGTTCCAGTCAATGTGTTGTGTTCTTGTGCAAAACACTTTACTCTTACAGTGTCTGTCTCCACCCAGGAGTATAAATAGGTATGAGTAGGGGGGGGTTAAAGGGGGGGGAATAATGGTGGAATGGACTTCCATCCTGTCCAGGGCTGGGTAGTAATACTCCCAGTTGCTTCATGTGAGGAAACCAGGATTAAGTAAAGCTCATGCCCTGGACAGGCCACTTTTCAAATTCAGATGGGACCTAACTACCTACCACCTCTTAGTTTAAATGATTTAAATTGCTACTGTTATGAATTATATAAACTTGAAACACACAGATGTTGATTTTTGCCCAATTTATTTTAGTCAATTGCATAGGATATCTTTGGTAAATCTTGAAATTTATTGTAATGAGAAGTGAATTACTATTTATTTAAATATTAATGCTTGTTTTCTTCAGTTTATATATCTTTTGTTCTTTTACTGCTTTAAATATGTTATTAATATTAATTGCTTGTGATTTCGTGTCTATGTATCCCTCCCATTCTCAGAAGGGAAAAAATATTTAGTTTAGAATTGGGTAATATGTTGAGCTAATTTTTTACCATTTGCAACCATCTTTTTTTCAGGCCAGGATGACTTAAAACAGCAACTTTTTGAAAGAAGCATCCCCTTAAGTTGCTATGGCTAAAGAAAGAAGTCCAATTAAGGTTCCATCTGAAAATGAAGACTTACCTGATGAAGAAGATGCTCCAGATTTTGACAAGGACACTTTACGAGGTGAGCTAGGTTCAACTTTGGCTTCAGTCACTGTTAAAACATTTTCTATTCCACCAGTTTCAAGAATGTAAGCAGATGTGGAGAATGATATTAGTACACTGCATGACCACTTTAAAGGATGTCTCACCAGTAATGACTCTCTTCTATGATTATAATATGTTGTTCATTGACTGAGAGGATCTATGACAAAGTTCAAAACAAGTACACAAAGTTGTAATAAGTAAAGACTTTATTTGATCATCATATAACATCCATTTTGTAAGTTTGCATCATAAGTACCACCATCATCATCATCATCTTGCCATTATATTATGCAACAATCCATTGAAAGTTTCACCTTCCCCCAAGCAACCAATTTCCAGTAGAGTCCAAGTGTTATATCATTGAATATGGAGATGTTTAACCCTTGACACCCTAACATCAGTATCCATATTCTCCATACTATTCTTTGTATGTTTCTTTTGGTACTGAAAAAGAGAATTCATTTGAAGATTAATGCTTCTTAGGTTGGTGATCATTTCCTTTATTCTCATGAGCTTAGTCAATGATTCAGCAGTATTACTGTAAGGAGAAGTGAGATGCTGGTCACTCTAAGGGTTTAAAGGGTTAAGGTAGTGTATTGTTTGTGAATGTTGAAGTCTACCCTCCTCACCCCTCTTGTTTGTATATCGGAGCATACGTGTTGCGATGTTGGTAATTAAAACAATGTGTTGGATGCCTTTCAAAGGTGTTGTTCACTGTTTGTGTTAAATCCATAAATACATTACAGGTTGATAGTGAACTTTCACTAACAAATGGCTGAGAAGAAAAAAGTCTACAAGGTCTAGGATTTAAAGCTTGGTCAATTAGTTGAAAGTCAGGTTGCTAATTACTTTTTTTTGGCGTAAAAATTCTGTCAGGCATTTGAACACATTATTGATTTTGCTTGTGGAATAGAAATTTTAGGAAACCTATCTTGAAAAGTTTAAATGCCTAAGGGTTTGCTTCTAATTGAGTGATGTTAAATTCTCATCATTATTATTACCACTGTTGTCACCCACATTATTATAACATCATTATAAATATTAATCTCATCTTCTTTATCGTTATTCTTATCATTTATATAATGACTATTTTTCTATAAGTAATATATTGCTTCTGGTTTTTGTGATTAGAACATTTGGATCTTTGACTCATTTACAAGCTATCTAAATGTATTAAAGGCAGTAGACTCTTCTGCTCTTATAGTGGAGCTCACAGAGCGCAGCCCCATAATTATACAAAATAGTAGTAACCCATCAAGCCGAAAAGATTTGTATGTACGACCATACGACCATAGAAAGTGCTACTTTTAACATGCATGGTCAACTGTACCATGGGCATGCCAAAACCATGGCTTTGAGCACTGGGCTCCAAGTCAGATGACCTGGGTTCTAGTCCTGGCCGGGGCAAGGTGTTGAGACGTGCGGGGAAAAAAAAATGCGCTCCGCTTTTAGGCTTGGCTAAATCTATATATTAATATGCCACTTTCTTCTAAACAACAACAACAACAACCACAACAGCAACTGAGTCTGCTCAGTTGAGCTTTCAACCAAAAAATCTCTCATGAATTTACTGAATGGAGTGTGTCCTCTGAAGGGGGTGGGGGGGGGGGGAGATTGCACACATTCCCTAAGCTTTTCAGGGATGGGTCAAGTCAGGCAGGTGCAAAAGTGCTCTGGCACAAAAGGAAAAATCTGCAGATTTTAAATCTCCAGATCTTGGCAGCTTTGCCTATACACTAATTAACTACAACCACAGATAATTATTAACTACAACCACAGACTTTGACAAAAATGATTTTTTATTTTTTCTTTGCAGCCGCAGCTGATGGTTATAGGAATGAGGGTAATGAAGCCTTCAAGAAAGGAGATTTCATCAATGCTATTCATTTTTACACCAAAGGAATTAAAATGAACTGCAATGAGAAAGAACTGAAGGCCAAACTGCACAACAACAGGGCTATTGCACATTTTAAACTTGGTAAGGTGATGAGAGCTTTAATATGCATTTTTTTTTCTCTTTTGAAGCTATTGAATTGTCAGTATTAGTTTTCTGAGATGTTTTCTGAGTTTTCTGGTGATAATTTTTGATGCATCCCAGAAAAATATACATCTTATTTTAATTGGCCTCTCAAATATACAAAGAAGTAACCTCTTACCCCAGATATCAGTGAGCATTTCAAGTTTTTCCCAAAATTATTACAATGGAGTGGTGGTTGATTTGCTACGTGTATGGCTAATCAGAGATATTTATTTTGATAACAGGAAATCACCAGGATTCACTAGGGGATGCAGAAGTAGCCATTGAGTTTAATCCAACTTTCCTTAAAGCAATTGTGAGAGGTTAGATATGTTAGCTGTGCTATAATAGTAATAATAAAAAAGAACTCAACACTCTAAGGTTAAATGAAGAGTTCAATCTTGTCTCAATTAACATTAATTAAGAGGTCAAGACCACCCTGATGTACATTTGAATCCAGCTCTTGACTGTTATGCAACTACTTTCCATTAATTATGATGAGAATATTATTTTGAGCTGGATGAAGAACTCAATGGGGAATGCAAAGCAAAACTTCAGCACAAGTTAGTTTTAAGCTCACTGAGTGAGGTAGTCACAGTTGTCAGATATGTTAAGTCAATATGATATCTAGCTGTTTTAAAAAGAAGTAAGGATCAGGACTTATGTAACTCTTTAGGTAAGGAATTTAATATCAGTCCCAATTTAAATATTCTTAGAAGTTTCAGTTGTCTTAAAAGCTAAATAAATGTAACTGAAACCTAATAGGACCTGTTTATTCTTTTCCATTCAGTTCTTTTGTTTTGTTTTGTTTTGTTTTGTTTTGTTTTGTCTTTTTTTCTTCTGGTCTGTAATGATTTCAATGGTTTCAGGTTCTTTTCTCGGAATTGAGCTACAGTATAATATGCTTCTTTATGTTGTTGCCTACAGGAGCCACTGCTTGTGTTGAACTGAAGAGATTTGAAGAAGCAATCACTTGGTGTGATAAGGGACTAGCTGTATCCTTTGAAGGAATCTTTCATTTTTAACCATGGGTATAGTGGAAAAAGTTTCCATAATTTGATGTTTCAAGGGAGAAAATACAAAGAAGGGTATTAATTATGATGGGAACTTGTCAGCTCATATACTTAAAGTGTGTGTGATTAAAAACATAGGAGAAGTTATTACCTCATGACTAATGAAATTACTCCTTTTAGCCAATTTGACTTAGTTCTACTATCCATGCCAATAACTGTTACATTAGTTTAAATAACCCTTTAATTTCCCAGACCAAATTTGTAATTATCCTTACTGTCAACCATACAATTCTTGTAATGTTAGTGCAGAGAATTCAGTATTGCATCAACTAACTATTTTCAAATTGATATATTACTTTTTACTCTCAACACTTATCTGATTGATATTGTATTGCTATTGTAAGGAGAAATTCTCTTTTGGTCACTCATGGGAGTTAAAGGGTTAGAAGACTAATATTCATCCAGTTTATACATAGTACGTGGGTAGATGATCTCTCTAAAACAAGCCAAAACAAAAAGCTCGGTAATGTTTACATATCTTATGCAGATTTTCTTGCCTTCGACCTTTTTCCACTACTTAGAGACTCGGAAACTTTCGTTTTACTTTCCTATGGACAAATAAAAATTTTAAAGACATGTGTTTGTGTTGTAGACTCATTTCTTCCACTGCTTTTAAACATTTGTCTGATGTTAAAGCTATATTAATTTCAAAATTGAGCAAGTGCTAAGTTTTTGGAAACTAGGGATTAAATCTAGATTTCACGTTAAATTTTGAGGCTGCACACAGAAAAAACATTTTTTGAAGTGTAGATTTACTTCATAACTGACTTTAAGACTGAATGTTGATAAATCATCTACCTTTCATGCGATATTAGTCCTACTAATGGGCCATTTTATAGTTGTGTACTTAGTTGCCAAGCCTTTGATTTGGAGTGAGGCTGAAGGTGACCTTGTTGTGATAGAGACCAGTATCCAGAAACGATAATAACAAAGAAGTTTGCATTTAAAAATCAGCAATGTTTTTATGATAACAAGGTCACCCTTAATCATCGCTCTTGTTCAGAGGCTTGGGAACCAAGCACGCAAATGTTAAAATGGACTATTACATATCAATATGATCAGAAACATAATCTTTTATGTTTTTTCCACATTTTTAACCCTTAACATAAAGAAGATTGACAAAAACAATAGGATCTTGTTGTCATTAAGACTTCAGTCTGTCAGTGAAGTGGGAGATAAGTCCATGGAGGTAAAAGATTCTACTAGTCATGACCACGGTAGTGCAAGTTCAGGTGATGTCAAGAAAGTCATAGATCTCTATAATTGGGGAGAAGAAGCCATAGAGTACCTCAACCGATATCTTAAAAAAGCTAAAGAAGTAGGAGACAAGCATGGGGAGGGTAACGCTTATGGCAATCTTGGCAATGCTTATTTTAGTCTGGGTGATTTCAAAAAAGCCATACAGTACCACAACCTAGATCTTAAAATAGCTAAAGAAGTAGGAGACAAGCATGGAGAGGGTAACGCTTATGGCAATCTTGGCAATGCTTATTTTACTCTGGGTGATTTCAAAAAAGCCATAGAGTACCACAACCTACATCTTAAAATAACTAAAGAAGTAGGAGACAAGCTTGGGGAGGGTAACGCTTATGGCAGTCTTGGCATTGCTTATAACTGTCTGGGTGATTTCAAAAAAGCCATAGAGTACCACAACCTACATCTTAAAATAGCTAAAGAAGTAGGAGACAAACATGGGGAGGGTAACGCTTATGGCAATCTTGGCATTGCTTATAACTGTCTGGGTGATTTCAAAAAAGCCATAGAGTACCACAACCTACATCTTAAAATAGCTAAAGAAGTAGGAGACAAGCATGGGGAGGGTAACGCTTATGGCAATCTTGGCAATGCTTATCAGAGTCTAGGTGATTTCAAAAAAGCCATAGAGTACCACAACCTACATCTTAAAATAGCTAAAAAATATAGAGACAAGCATGGGGAGGGTGTTGCTTGTGGCAATCTTGGCAATGCTTACTTTAGTCTGGGTGATTTCAAAAAAGCCATAGATTACCACAACCTACATCTTAAAATAGCTAAAGAAGTAGGAGACAAGCATGGAGAGGGTAACGCTTATGGCAATCTTGGCAATGCTTATTCTAGTCTGGGTGATTTGAAAAAAGCCATGGAGTACCACAACCTACATCTTAAAAGAGCTAAAGAAGTAGGAGACAAGCATGGGGAGGGTGTTGCTTATGGCAATCTTGGCAATGCTTATTCTAGTCTGGGTGATTTGAAAAAAGCCATGGAGTACCACAACCTACATCTTAAAAGAGCTAAAGAAGTAGGAGACAAGCATGGGGAGGGTGTTGCTTATGGCGATCTTGGCAATGCTTATTTAAGTCTGGGTGATTTAAAAAAAGCCATAGAGTACCACAACCTATATATTAAAATAGCTAAAGAAATAGGAGACAAGCATGGGGAGGGTAACGCTTATTGCAATCTTGGCAATGCTTATTTAAGTCTGGGTGATTTAAAAAAAGCCATAGAGTACCACAACCTACATCTTAAAATAGCTAAAGAAGTAGGAGACAAGCATGGGGAGGGTAACGCTTATGGCAATATTGGCAATGCTTATTTTAGTCTGGGTGATTTCAAAAAAGCCATAGAGTACCACAACCTACATCTTAAAATAGCTAAAGAAGTAGGAGACAAGCATGGGGAGGGTAACGCTTATGGCAGTCTTGGCAATGCTTATGACCGTCTGGGTGATTTCAAAAAAGCCATAGAGTACCACAACCTATGTCTTAAAATAGCTAAAGAAGTAGGAGACAAGCATGGGGAGGGTGGTGCTTATGGCAATCTTGGCAATGCTTATGACCATCTGGGTGATTTCAAAAAAGCCATAGAGTACCACAACCCACATCTTAAAATAGCTAAAGAAGTAGGAGACAAGCATGGGGAGGGTTGTGCTTATGGCAATCTTGGCAATGCTTATCAGAGTCTTGGTGATTTCAAAAAAGCCATAGAGTACCACAACCTACATCTTAAAATAGCTAAAGAAGTAAGAGACAAGCATGGGGAGGGTGTTGCTTATGGCAATCTTGGCAATGCTTATTTTAGTCTGGGTGATTTCAAAAAAGCCATACAGTACCACAACCTACATCTTAAAATTGCTAAAGAAGTAGGAACCAAGCATGGGGAGGGTAACGCTTATTGCAATCTTGGCAATGCTTATGACCGTCTGGGTGATTTCAAAAAATCCATAGAGTACCACAACCTACATCTTAAAATAGCTAAAGAAGTAGGAGCCAAGCATGGGGAGGGTAACGCTTATGGCAATCTTAGCAATGCTTATAACCGTCTGGGTGATTTCAAAAATGCCATAGAGTACCACAACCTACATTTTAAAATAGCTAAAGAAGTAGGGGACAAACATGGTGAGGGTAACGCTTATGGCAGTCTTGGCAATGCCTATTTTAGTCTGGGTGATTTCAAAAAAGCCATAGAGTACCACAACCTACATCTTAAAATAGCTAAAGAAGTAGGAGACAAGCATGGGGAGGGTGGTGTTTATGGCAATCTTGGCAATGCTTATGACCGTCTGTGTGATTTCAAAAAAGCCATAGACTACCACAACCTACATCTTAAAATAGCTAAAGAAGTAGGAGACAAGCAAGGGGAGGGTAACGCTTATGGCAATCTTGGCAATGTTTTTAACCGTCTGGGTGATTTCAAAAAAGCCATAGATTACCACAACCTACATCTTAAAATAGCTAAAGAAGTAGGAGACAAGCGTGGGGAGGGTAAGTCCTATGGCAATCTTGGCAATGCTCATTTCAGTCTGGGTGATTTCAAAACAGCTACAGAGTACCTCAACCTAGACCTTAAAATAGCTAAAGAAGTAGGAGACAAGCATGGGGAGGGTTTCATTTATGGCAATCTTGGCAATGCTTATCACCTTCTGGGTGATTTCAAAAAAGGCATAGAGTACCAGAACCTACATCTTAAAATAGCGAAAGAAGTAGGAGACAAACATGGGGAGGGTAGAGCCCACTATAATATTGGTTCTATGTATCAAACTGAGGGAGATTTGATAAAGGCTATCGAGTCATACAACATAGCGCTTAAAATTGCTGAAGCGGTTGAAGACAAATCCTTGGATGCAATGGCCTACTATTCATTAGGATGCGTTTTTGAGGTGCAGGGTGGACTGCCAAAAGCCGTTGAACATTACCAAGCTAGCATTAACTTATTCAATTCCTTGAGAGTACTTCTAAAATCTAAAGACGAGTGGAAAGTTAACTTTCGAAATCAGTATCAAATGGCGTATACGGGTTTGTGGAGAGTCCTCGTAGAACAAGGTAATATAGATGAAGCCTTATTTGTTGCTGAGAAAGGACGAGCTCAAGCTCTGTCCGACCTTATGGAATCCAGTTTTTGTGGTGGTGCAAGTCAGCACAAGACAGGTGATGAAGATTTAGCAGTCACTGCCAAGTCTTCATCGATTTGGATGAAACGTTTTTCAAAAGTTTTAAAAACCGTTCCATCAAACACCGTCTTTCAGGCAGTGGACATAGTTGATGTCAATCTTTGGGTTGTGTCCAAAGGAAAACAAGTTCAGTTAAGACAAAGTAAACTCAAAGGTTTTGTTTCAGAGAATAGTGGAGCTAGCCAGTCCTTTGAGTCGTTTATGCTCGGTGTCTATACACAACTTGGTGTTGGTTCTATTTTGAGTTGCGAGAATCGATCTTTGGATGCTTTGAGGGAGAGCCCTTCAAAAGTGGATGAGAAACCTAAAGAATACAACCCTCAACCTGCCATTCAACAAAGTAAATGCTTGAGCACGTTGTATGATAACGTCATGAAGCCGGTGGCCGACCTGATTCAAGGGGATGAGTTAGTCATTATTCCCGATGGACTCCTGTGGCTCGCTCCTTACGCTGCATTGAAGGATGGTAATTCTAAATACCTGTGTGAATCTTTCAGAATCCGACTCGCTCCATCATTAACGAGTCTTAGAGTCCTTGCCGATTGCCCAGACGATTATCACAAAAGCAGTGGTGCGTTACTTGTAGGAGATCCGTGGGTATCCGAGGTTACTAACAGCGAGGGAGACAAACCCCTCGAGCAGCTTCCGTGTGCTAAAGAAGAAGTAGAAATGATCGGAAAAATTCTGAATATCACGCCAATCACTGGCAAACAGGCCACGAAACGTGAGGTGTTGAAAAGACTCAGTTCCGTTTCCTTAGTTCACTTTGCGGCACACGGATGTATGGAAACTGGCGAAATTGCTCTTACACCTGACCCAGACCGAACATCTACTTTGCCTACCAAGAAGGAGGATTACATATTAACGATTCGTGATGTGTTAAATGTTCAACTTCGCGCTAAACTAGTTGTACTTAGTTGCTGCCACAGCGGTCGAGGCGAGATCAAGGCTGAAGGTGTGGTTGGCATTGCGCGCGCTTTTATGGGGGCTGGTGCTCGGTCTGTTGTGGTGTCCCTGTGGGCGATTGATGACAAGGCTACTCTAGAGTTCATGAAATGCTTTTATCGACAACTTGCCGAAAGCAAACCTGCAAGCGAGTCACTGAACCTGGCCATGAGAAGCCTTAGAGAATCAGACCAGTTTCGCGACATCAAACACTGGGCTCCCTTTTTGCTGATTGGAGATGACGTCACTTTTGACTCCATGGCAAAGGAAAGAGAAAATTTGAATACAAACTTGAATAAATGACAATTTTTTTTTCATCTCAAAAAGAATGACGCATGAACTTAGAGGGGTTAAATGTTTCTCTATTTTGGCAAATTTGGCTATTTTTCATTATTTTCTACTTTTTGTTGAATGGAACTCGAGATGTGTAACTTTACTTTGGTGAAGAAATAAAATTTTATTATTTTTTGATCAGTGGAACTGTCTTTTTTTCTTACCCTTACAGATTTAAATGCTTGCGAAGAGAGCGAAATGTAACAAGGCCTCTGTTATGAATGCCTACAATAGTTGAACGCGAATACGAGATTTTCGTTTTCGTCGCTCAACTCTATTCCTGTATTACAATCAGTTGTATGGACAACAGTTTAAAGGTATTTTTTCTTTTACATAACCTAAGCTTTTCATAAGCGAAGAAACAATTCGTCATTTGCGAAAGTTGGCGAATTTTTCTATTTCCAAAAATTTGATTTGCAAAATTTGCAGCCATATGTTGACGAAACTTGATGATTTTTCTACATCATAAATTACTTTGTTACAAATTAGGATTTTCTTCACAAGAAAAATTAATTAATATTTTTTTTAATCCATTTTAATGCAATCTAATTCTATCAGTGCCAAGATTGCCATTCTAAGCCTAATTTGAAGAAGTAAACATCAGAGATGATGTTATTAAATTTACTGACCATATGTTAGAGACCTAAGACCTACTTTTATTCGTGTAGCCAGCCTCTAGTCCCGTAGGCCCGGCCCACAATTGTTTTCCGCCCGGTTGACTTTTATAATATGACTCTTTCAAATGTTGAAACGAAAATCGAAATTTCTCAGAGAACAGGCCGACAACAAGTCAAAAGGCTGGTTGTCAAATGAGTTTGGTCAATTTTAGTCGGTTTTATCAAACACTGATCTATTTGCTTTAAGGAACCAATAGAGAGAGGTTAAAAATTGTCCATGTAATCTAAACCAGGAAACAGCGACGCAGAGTTCACTATAACTGAAGTTTCCATAGCTGTGACTTTTAATGTATGTGACATGGAATTTGTTGTTTTTAGTAGGAAAATATTTACGCCCATAACTTAGAAAAGCAGTTAAAGTAAGCCATGTAGTCCTCGATAGGAATTATTTTGGTGAAAAGGTTCATGGATTAATGTAAACCAAGTCTGTACTTGAAAAGGTTCAGGCCTCAGGATAAAACTTTTAATTTTTGAAAATTACCTGTCGAAACTTTTTTCTTTGCTTTAAATTTACCTTGGCTCAATTTGAAGATGTCTTTTTCAGTTTTAAGAACTTATACTTAGGTATTTAGAGCACGCTTTGTAATTAGAGCCCGTTATGTGTATTTCGTGTGAAGTGTTTTGATGCTATTTTTATTTAAAGTTGAAGATAATTGTTCATTTACCTTAGTTTATATGAAGTCATGAACTCCCAAGTTCTGAAGAAAAATTCTCCCAACTGATAAGAGTGTTTCTCTTTGTTGCTTATTCCGAGAACTCGATGTAACATCACGTTTCTAGTAAAAAAAACTATCCTCCAGTTTGATATTCTCGAATTCTTTTTGACACCATGTATGTCGTATTAATACTGTTTCGGAGAGTTTAAATTATGATCAGTCTTGGGAGTAATTGGGTTCATTATAGTGTCTCCGTTTAGCGCGTATTTTACTTAATGCCTCAGATAATTTAAGGCGGTTTCTATTGTGCTTATTTTTTTACTTCTTTGTGTAAGAGACATGTTCAGTGTATTAAATACAAAAACTGCGTTGATTTTCATTATCTGTCTCCATATTCTAAGGATTCACGTAAGATGCACAGAGGACAGATCCTATGGGGACTTCAATGCTTGTTTTGAACCGCGCGCACTAAGTTGATAATCTGTGCAGTTGACAGTGTACTCAATTTCCATTTTTCAACCCCCCACCCACTTAACATATGTGCTTCATTTCTTCAATTCTATCTCTTCCACTGTCTATCGTTCTCCATATTGTCAGAAAGTTTTGAACGCCGACGGACATGTTCATACTGTTTCATGTCTACGCCTTTTTAACCATTTTCCTCACACAAGTTTTTACACCCTTTCACATTTGCGCATCCCTTCTTTCTGCTTCCTTTTGTTCCATCCTTTTCTTTTCATCGTGCTTTCGTTTATTCCCATCTTTACGCGCACTTCTTTCATCACCCCCAACTTTGTTCTTCTACGCGCTTCATGTGACGCGACCATCTCCTTGTCTCTTTCAGTTTTCACTCGTCTCAACGCTCTCGCAGCGTCAGACTTCTTACAATTCATAAACCTCCTTACTCCCCCCAGAGTAGTTGTTATCATGCTCATTTTGTCCACGTTAGGATGGTGTCCTCTTAACGTCATCTCTAGTAAAATCCCAGTTTTCCTTTCGACTCATTCCCAGTCCACAGGGTCTCTCAGTTTTAACTCTCACGTGCTAGTGTTTGCTCTCCTCAGTCCTCTCATTATAGTAGCAGTTATAAAGCGAAACAGCTCAAGTCTCGGCGACATAATCAGTGCATTTTGTTGAAAACGAGTCCTTTAATGTCCAAATTAAGGCTTCCTCTATCATCTGATTGGGAATGGGTCAAACTCTCGCCCAGGGTCCACCTGACATTGCGAATCCAAGATGGCGGCAGGCCGATCCATGGACTCCACAGAGTCACTAGCCGCCATCTCGGATTTAGACGCAGAGAAGATCTTGGAAACACTAATCAAGAGAGATAAGTTACTATGGTACTTATAGAGATAGTCGATAACGACATGAGAGGTTCATTATGGGCAAACGCGTTCCGTCGATTATTCGACTCCACGTGTCCTTACCTCGTAGAATAAACTCCTCGAATACGCACGCTTATATGTCCCTTAAATAGCACTATACATCCCCCTACTGCAACTTTTATCATTATACAGCACAATACAACATTATACCCCTGAGTAGCTCTGTAAATCCGTAAAATGCAGTAACTATACAGCACGTCACAACAATATGTACCCCTAAATAGCCATATGCTTCCCTCTACCGCATTTTACATCACCAAACAGCGCTATATGAAGAATTTCTCCAATTGGCGCGAAAATAGCTTTGGATATTTGTCTGCAGACATTGTTTGTTCCAAGATGCGAAAACTGTGAGCGAGGGACAGATAACGTCCGAGGAAAAATATCCGTGCATATTTTCGCGCAAAGTAGAGGCTATTGTGTTTTTTATCCTTCAAATATTTTGCAACGCACTTGAAAATTGTTTATGAACAGCTTACTTAGTTCAATTAATAAAGGGAGTAATAAAGAGCGTTAGCCCTTCGTTAGAGCGATTGCAAAGGGCTAACGCTCGAAACGTGAGCTTTCAATTTACGTAATCAACTCATATGATAAGACTAATTTATCCTGAATGGAATTAAGTTTGAAACGAAGACTTATCGTGGTGGACGTAAGGTTTGCAAATTTGGGAATATCGCTTGGGTTATATTCTCGGATATCACCCAGTTTTAGCTGGGGGATTTTCAGTCACTTGCTGCGTTTATGCCAATCGCGCGCGAGCAAAAAAAAAATTGATCGGTCATAAACAGCGATATGTACCCCTAGATAGCTCTATACTGCCCTCTTCTGCAGTTTACATTACTATACAGCGCTATACAACAATATGTATTCGTAAGTAGCCTTGATCGGCATAATAGAATACATACATCGAAATGTTCCAGCCTCACGGGCCATGTTTTATGTCTCTCTCCAAGGTTCCTCAAATACTCGATGAAAACCTCTTCGTCGTATAAAGAAAACGCAGCATTTTCCAGTGCATTCATGACTCGTCTGACGTGAAGATACAGAGATCGAGAGTTGATTACGGCTTCAAGTTTCAAACTCTTAAAGGCGGGAAATATGTCTTGAAATCTTTCATGAACGTCGTTATCAATTCTGAATAATTGAAATTCGATTCACGTTTACTTTAGATAATGAATTTTACTCTCATTTTGCCAGTTATACAAAGAAATCAAGAGACTTAGCAATATCCACAACAACACACACACACACGTATCTCAGTTCTAAAAATAAAGAGATAAATGACAGGGTTGATTCAAGAGTACAATTGGTATGGAGGCTACGGGTAATGGGCCCCTGCCAATACATTAATTTTATTCACCGACGACCTCGGCGGGGAAACCTGGAGGACGGATTTTTTCGAAACGAATGCGATGCGTAACTCGAAACTATAAATAATACTGTTCCATTATTTTCTGCTGACGTCTCTAGTGCACACAAACCTAATAAAAGGACTGTTAAAGGGCTATGAAAGGAACTCAGACCCAAATGTTCACTCTACGTTCCAGTGCTGTTGTCAACGACATCCGGTGATAACAGCCTTTCATGTACCTAACGAATTTTCTTAATAGCAACATTTAACATCAATGTCATATGAGAATTTTTTGATAATTCTGAAGTATATTAATTCCTAATTAAATATATCAAACCGAAAAATTTAAATAGCTTTTACATCTAAAATTATCGAAAGCTGCGACATTTGGATATGAATTACAAATTCTTTGAGGTCATAATTTAGGTCAGCAAATAATTTTTCTTTGAGGTAGAGGTTCAACCTCTGCCTCAAAGAAAAATTACTTATCATCTGCCGACCTGAATTCTCACCACTCAATAAACGTAATGAACTCGTGTCCTCAATTGAACAAAAAAGTTTAACTTACCGCCACGCCTATAATGCAAATTTGTAAAGTATACAAAGGATGGTTTATATCCTTTACAAATATATATATACCAACGAGACAGGAAATTATGCTGAGTTTCCAGTTCTTAACGGCGGGTTATTTCTAATACTATTTCTCAGTGTGAGACGGGGCCGCAAGTGATGAATTCCGCTAATTTGCGAAAATTTAGCTGATTAATAATGATATAGTCTCCCCGTAGGTTTAGCAGTCCACAGTCTTCAGCTTATTTCAAAGCAGTTCCGAATGTTTAAGCTTTCGGAAGCGAAAAGATACCTTAAATTCGACTGTTCTGTAGAGGAAATTTCACTCTTAATATACGTATTAGGTCTAAGGTTAGTTCTGAGGGGTGTGGGTTAGGGATAAAAAAATGATTTGGTCAATTAGTGGGTACTAGGGGAGGGGAGTCAGATCAGACACAAATTACAAAGGAATTGGGTCTTATTCATGTTTTTGATCGCCTCTCTATTTTACGAGGGAAAGCAAATCGATTTGAGATTTTAAATCTGATCGACTCCTAGCTGGAATGTTTTCTGAAGCCCACTCCCCTCCCCTCCCCTCCCTCCTCTATGAAAAGAGTAATGCTGAAGAGAGAGTCAATTTTGTCGCCATGTCACAGTTTTAAAATTGAGTTGAGGACAACGTAATTAAGTGTACTCAAGGTTAGGAACACCTTGTTAATTGCTGGCTGATAGAAATTGTTTACTTTTCATTTACTGTGTAAAAAAGAGTGAATTGAACACCGTCCGATAAAGAAATAAGACACAAATTGCATTGAATATAATCAGGAATGGGCTCCTTATATAATGAGGTACACTAAGGTATATAGACAGAGAAGTTATAGTAGCTGAAATATTCATTACTGCTAGAGTAACAATTCAACTTTTTTGTAAATGAAGGGCAAATATAACTAGTAACTGACCGAAAATTTAACTAATTTTGTTTACTTTTTCACGCCTAGACTTGGCATGAATACATGTATTTTCTCACGTTCTCTCAAAAATAAAAAGATCAGTTTGTTGATTCTGTATTAACACCCTGGTCTTTTGCATGGTCTTCAACTGCATCCAGCTACAGCCAGAGAGAAAGCGAACGGATGCAATTCGCCGCAAAGAAACGAAATCATATTGAACACATAGGTGTATCCGGTAAGGACTTATTTTTCTTCAGGTTTCACCACAGTCAAACTAGTGATGTTTTATCTCCTTCCAAATGCTTTTAAAACTTTATTCGTCATCTGCCTTTCATGGGCTTATTAGCGACTGACCAAGCTAACAGATTCTTAAAAAGCGATTTACATGTTGCGTGTCTTCCTCTTATCGGATCCTGTTGGCTATCAACAAAAATACCATATTAATCACGTGATTTTAGCCCTATGAGGGAGACGCGATGGCGTAATGGTTAGTGCGCTGGACTCCGGGTCAGGAGGTCTGGGTTCGAGACCTGGCTAAGTCATTGTGTCGTGTTCTTGGTTTGTCGTTCTTATTTATAGTAAAATAATAAAGTAAGATGAGATCGTAGCTCTTCTGAGTCACAATGACTTGAGGTGGCAAAAGTCATTTGTTTGTGCTTATGTCATAAGTCGCGAAATTGGAAATTAAGAGCGTCCCACCTACCAGAAAAAATTGATCCCTGGAACATTTGGGCCAAAATGTCCGAAAAGTTAATAATACCTGTACAAGACAAAGGGATTTTTGATAATATCTTTGCTTCGACTAGTCAAATGATGATATGAGCCCTTCATGTAACATAATTATAAATGACGTCATAAACTTGGGCTCCAGGCCTCTGCAGTGATCATGATGCTGACGAATAATAAAATGAACTTATGTCTGTAACGTGAAAATTTTACATTTTGGAATTTCAAATAACGCCTTGGCATTAGTTCATGTCTTGTGTGAGCAAATTTTTTTGGTTTGAGTCGATGAAATTATCTGCTGAGAACTTCTATTTACGATTTCTTGTTCAACCCGACAGAAAACAAACGAAGGAAGGAAACCGTGGAGAACAATTCTCAAGCTAAATCTTCACGCCACTCAATGATGTTTTACAATGTAAAAGGGAAGAAGAGCTCAAAAGAAACCTAGGAAAGAAAGCAGGCCAGGGACACGCTCCAGAGGTTCAAAAATGGTGAGGATCTGAGTGGTAATTATAAACGACAACATAAAACATTAAATCTAAACTACTATAACTTACAACTTAGTTATTTTTTATTTATTCAGCACTACCATTAAAGGAGAATTGAGAGGTATGTATCTTTGCATCATAAAGAGAGTGGCTTTCTATTCTCGAAACCCCCACGGACTACTGCCGCTGGAGTCTGTGCAAGGTCAGTCCAACTAACCTGAGGTCGGTATATACTCATTGCACACCTCATGAGAAAATGATGGGACAGGGAGGGAAAATCAGGGCGTTGGCTAAATATATCGATTTCAATTCAGTTATTTTCAGATTGAAGCGGGAAGCACTGTGGTTTCCTAATTTAGTTTCTTTATTGTTAGAGTCTAAGATTAAAAGAGCCAATCTCCTCGCTGTTTGCCAATACATCAATTGTATTCACTGGCGACTGCGGCTTACTGAGAGAGGCTGAATGTTTTTCGACACGAATGCGATGCGTGACATGTGCAAGTAAAAAAAAACATGACAACCGTTCAAGACTGAAAACTATGAATAACACTGTCCCATTATTTTCTGTTGACGTCTCTCATGCACGTAAATCTAATAAAAGGACTGTTAAAGGGCTGTGAAAGAGATTGGACAAGTTGTTGGTAAGATAAGATCGTAGCTACTCTGAGTCACTATGACTTGAGGTGGCAAAAGTCATCTGTTTGTGCTTATGTCATTACTTTAATAGAAAAGATTCTTCCATAGTTGAAAGGTTGAAAATATATCGATGAAAACCAAAACAATAGTTTTCTGAATGCGAAATCCTTCGTACGCTTTAATCTTTAGTTCAGTATATATGTCCTATATTTGTACGGGTACTTCAAGGAATGGCGTCAAAATCCACGGTGGTCCCTCTCCTTCATGCTGGCCCTGCTACTCCCCCTCAGTGGCCTGCAGGCGGAAGTGACCCGTATAGTTGAGACGAATGTCCTTGATAAACAGCTGCAAACAGGATAAGTGGAGATGCCCACTCTTGTAGGTGCGGTAAAGAACAGCCGCAGTGGTGTCGTTGATGTTTCACTCGAGGAAGGTGAACAGTAACAAAAACCATGTCCAGGGAAGGTGAAGAAATTGGTAAACACAAGATTGCTAAGGTGTTTCGCGATCGTGGTAGCCAGACGAGGTTGCGTTCAAAATCTATCTCTGGGGACGCAGAGTTTGAATTCACATTTCCAATTCCAAGTGAGTTGAAAACGCGCGCAAATGTTTTAAGCTAATTTTACAAAGTTATTGTTCATTAAACTGAGCTACGCTGACAGTCTGACAGTCTCCTTCATAGGAGAAAGCAGTTTAAAACTTTAGCATGGAGGCTACGCGTACTCTTTTCTAGGAACTAGGGAGGGAGCGCCAAGGAAGACTTTTTAGTTGATTGATGTATGTCTTCATTAAACATTTTTTGTGACTCATGTCATATTAATTAATGTTCACCTCTCCTTTTCAGATTTTCGTTATCCACGCATATACACCCGTCAAAGGATTCTTTACAAAACGATTTAATCTAGTAGAGTATCTCTATCTAATCCGGAAAGCTAATGATAATTCCATCACTTCAAGAGACTTTAACCCCTTAACTCCCAAGATCTGATTGTTAATTCTCCTCTCTCGCTGCTGCACATTTCCTTTCAAATTGGTTACGAGAATTTGGTGTTAGATCATAATAATAACTTTTACCTGATAAGTTTGGATATTCTCATTACCTGTTTGCAAAATACTGTATAGTTATAATAGGGAGAAGTTACATGTTAATCACTTCTGGAAGTTAAAGGGTTTAAAGTTATTTAATTAAGGCAAACACAAGGTAACTGTTAGATAATCCTTAAGTAGTACATGTAATGTTATTCATATGTTATGCATGTAATGTTTCACTATCTTCGATTGCTGAAAGGTGAATAAGCGCATTGAAATCAAAATTGATTTCCTTCAGGCTCTGCTCACTGAACTACAAGTCTGCTGTCAGGTGACTAACGTGGACGCTATTTTAGTCCCTTAAATTTCTCATTTTCCAATAT